ATTTGCGCTCAATCTCAGGATTTACAGATCTTTTAAAAGTTTAATATGCCACAAATGAATCCGAAAGAAGTTTTCCACAACACTGCATACTCAGTTCAACTACCTTACATAGCCAGTCACTCCCTTTAAGAAGAAGAAGAATTTCAAGAAAAAGAAAATTTGTGAAAACAAAATCTAAATTATTTAATCCTTTGCATCTAGAAATTGGCGCGTTTTTTTCAGTTCATTCGATTGTAATTTAATATCAAACTCGTATTTTAAAAATACAAACATTTTGTTCTCAATTACGAGCAGAATGTTAGAAAGAAAATGCATTGATCGATTTTCGCTGAATTTCGCTCAGCGTTATTTCTAAAAACGGATTATTTTAATGTTTTTTTTAATTATATAAAGATCAAAAGGTTAGGTCCAACTGTGCACAAAAGCAAATAATCCTATGTATTAAGTATCAAGTTTTTATACGTAGATCCTTATTAGATTACTTATACTAGAAAGGAATATAACAGACTGGTCCGAGGGGGAATATTATTCTTTTCTTTATTATCAGATTATCCATATATTTATATATATATTTCATATTTATTAAGTATATTTGTGTGTACACAGTTATTACAATTTGGGAGATACGCGCAGTACAATGTCCTCTTATAGTGGAAAATACATGCGAACAAAGAATGTTTACATCCATGGACAAAATGGACTTAAATTACTCCTGACTGGCTGTATGGAAGAAAAGTCCTTTTTATGAAATCGTCTAAGACTTGACCTCATTTTCCCAAGACTTTGAACTTTTTTTCTTCAGGACTTTAATTCCTGTGATTTTACTTCCTGAGACTTTATAGGCAGGCACCATATTATTTCAGGAAAAAAAGTCCCAGGAATCTAAAGCTCAGAACTTTTTTCCTGAACATTTTTTTCCTGGGACTTCAGAAATTTGGACTTTTTTCACCAAATTTTATTTTCAAGTTTTTTTCTAGGAATGTTTTTCCTGTGACTTTCTTACATAGGTTCCTTCAGTACCACATGCCAAAAGATAAGTTTCGGGGCCTTGGTTTGAATCTATGTAAGAAATTTACAGGAAATAAAGGTTTCTAAAAAAACCTGGTTAAAAATATCACTGGAAAAAATTTCTAAGTTTTAGATTCCTGGAAAAATAAATTGGAAAAAAATAAACAAAGAAAAAAGTCTTGTGAAAATGAGGCAAAGTCTTAGACGCTTTCATAAAAAGGACTTATCTTCTATGCATCCATTAATATTTGTTATAACAAGCCCCTTTTTTCCATGGCTGTAAACATCCTTGGGAATTAAGGGGCTTGAATTGAAAATAACCCTGGCTATATTCAATATGCAGATGCATAGAAGAAAGCCCTTTTTACGTCTAAAACTTGACCTCATTTTAGGAGAAAAAAGTTCCAGGAATCTAAAACTCAGGACTTTATTTCCAGTGACATTTTATCCTAGCACTTCAGAAAATTGGGACTTCTTTTACCAATAATTTTATTTCGAGGTTTTTTTCCCGGAAATTTTTTTCTTGTGACTTTCTTACATAGATTCCTAGGTATGTCCCTTATTTTGAATCTAAGGCCACTAGAAGATACCACCCATTTAAGACAATCCTAAACAAATTGTCCCGGTTAAATTTTTATGAAATTTATATGCAATTTTGACTTAAATATGATTATATGTTAGTTACGAATGACTAGTTATAGCCAGATACCGATCAAGTTTTGCGCTATTATTGCGCAAATTGGAAATGGAAGCCATGCAGATCCTGTAGTATCTCCAATACTTCCAGGATAAAACCTAACTCCAGACTGAATCTTCCAATGGAGATCTTCTCTTAAGCTTCTCTCGGACTGGTTCCGCTCTGATCGGGATTATCTCTTGGAATACCGGAGCTTGTTTTTTTTTCTAACCTAGAGACACTCAGACAACTCCAAGACTCCTGGCCCCCTCAATCCCTGTATCAACCTTTCTACCCTCGATCCCTGTATACTGCAGTACATGGAATCCTTTTCTACCATCCCTGTAGACTGCAGTACAAAGAAACCTTTCTACCATCCCTGTAGACTGCAGTACAAGGAAACCTTTCTACCATCCCTGTAGACTGCAGTACAAGGAAACCTTTCTACCATCCCTGTAGATTACAGTACAAGGAAACCTTTCTACCCCTCCCTGTAGACTACAGTACAAGGAAACCTTTCTACCACTCCCTGTAGACTGCTGTACAAGGAAACCTTTCTACCCCTCCCTGTAGACTACAGTACAAGGAAACCTTTCTACCATCCCTGTAGACTACAGTACAAGGAAACCTTTCTACCCTCCCTGTAGACTGCAGTACAAGGAAACCTTTCTACCATCCCTGTAGACTGCAGTACAAGGAAACCTTTCTACTGCAGGATGAGGATCTGCCATTCGAAAAACCATCCTCGAATGATCGAATCTATGTAAGAAAGTCAAAGGAAAAAAGTTTATGGGAAAAAAGACCTACAAAATAGAAGTGGAATTGTCTGATGTCTCCTACTACCTAGTCGTCCTTAAATCTATATTTATATTTTATGTTAATCCATCAATTGGACTCGCAGAAAAATATTGCTATTTGAAAATTAGTCTTGTATTCTCAAAATTTAGTCTTTTTTGATGAATTTTAGCACTTTTTTCGCTAAAATTTTGCATATGTTTTGAGAAATTTTTGTTTTTTTTGCATAATTTTCATTTTTTCGCGAAATTTCCCCGTCTTTTCGCATTATTTTTTCGCGAAATTTTCGAATTAATTATTTCGCAAGTTTGCAGTATTTTTTGCCAAATTTTCCCATTTTCTATTTATCGAAAATATCGCATTTTTTCGCGAAACAGATTAAAGCGAAATTTCGCGAAATGTCGCGAGAAATGGGAAATTTTCGTGAAACAGTTTTCCCTTTTCGCTGGAAACCCTAGCAGGAAGTCAAAATAAAAATGTATCTTTCTTGCAATCTCCAAAAGGGATTCCTTATTCTGATAAATGACGTTAAAAAAAAATTGAATTTTCGTCGAAAATCCTTTATTTTTTCCGCGATGATAATACATACTATAACTTTTCTTTCTGGTAGAGTTTAGACTGGTGGGAAAAAAATTTGATGGTACTCAGTTTTGAAAATATATTTCAATATATTTTATATCCTTCCAAATTCTTGAGGTGGAATTTTTAAGCAGGGATGGATTATAAAAAAATATGAAAAAATAAGGTCAAGAAAAACATCAAACTTTGACATTTTTGACGTTCTTGCAAATTTCATTGGAAACTCTAACCTCCAAACATATACTACATAGTGTTATGATAATTAATTACATGCAGCCCGAGCGAGGCGGCTTTTCTAATGTATGGTACGTTAGTCCTTATTCTGGATTGGTTAAGACAATTCCAGGACCGAGCGCTGCGTCCACTATTCAGGGTGTCCCAATAAAAAAAGAAAACCTTGATGCACTGAGGTCGTTTTTGATTTAAAATGATCAATAAATGTCCAAGACACTGTTAAAAAGGTAGTGAGCTTTTCAAAATGGGATACTTTTCATCTGATTCAATAAATTTGAAATTAGTAACAATAGCAGAATTCATTTTGGAAATCACAGAACAAGGAGTTTCTTCATATTGTACGTCTCAGGAAACATGATAGTTTTAAATGTCTTCTTCCATATACTGTACGAGATATAAAAACTGTATGCAGTTTATTTTGTTGAACATCTTTTACTCTAATATATTTTGCTTTGTAAGCAATGTTACTAAAATATATCTACGATATAATAGTTTTATTCTCTTTGGTATCACACAAATTAACAAAACATTGGAAAAGACATTTAAAACTACAGCTGTTGTATCTGTTTTTGAGGTTGTCTTTTTGCAACTTATAGCTAACGGGGGAGGGGGGCTTTTGAACAGTTTTCAAGGTAACCAAAGTGAGGAATTTTCCCAGATTCTCCAACCGTGGTGACTTTCGTTGTAGAATTTCCGAGAAATTTCTCGAGAACCATTTCCTGTAACTAATTCCTTGGAAATTCTCAAGAAGTTCCCCAGAATTAGTCCCCAAGAGGAGAGATTTTTGTGTGGTTATGAGTTTTGTTACTCAGTTTTGAGAAATTCTCCGGAATATTTCCTCAAGAAATCTATCCGGAAATTCCCAGGACTTGGTCACCAAGTTAACGGATTTTTATGGGAACTAAATTTCTGAAAATAACTGAAAAAAAAAATTCGGTGCAGTTTTTGGTAAAATTCAAATAACGAGTGAACTTCATATATTCTCCTTAAAACGGCAAGTCTAAGTCACAACTGTATTCATTAATCCTTTTTTTGTCCTAACCGAAAATTGATAACTTTAGTTACGTTTTATTTTACATTTATAACTGATTAATCCAAATAAGTGCTAATAAAATCTAAATATCATGTCTTTTAATCGAGTCTCTTGAAATTAAGGTGACGTCACTTTAAAAAGCAAATTTACTTCAGAGCAGATCACTTTTAAACATTCCACAGAAACTTCTAGTCAGAAAACCCGGAAACTGACGAGTTTTTGCAGGAAAGTTTTTGTCTTGATTTGACATTGTCTCGAAGTTGGTGTTTAGTTTAAATATACAATGGTTTTTCTCTTTGCAATCTATACAACTTTAGTTACAACAATAGGTCATCAGAGTCTCACAAATATAGAAAAAGTCTATGGTTCTTTTTTTTAATGAGACGTCATTTCTAGTAATCTTTAATCAACCGTATCCTTAATAGTCTCAAAAATGAGAAATCACTTATGCGTGTTCATTGAAAACTGAATATTTCATTTTGAAATTTTAAGGGTTTTATGATATTAAATTTACGGAAATTTGATTAGGTTCACTTGTAATTTTGTAGGTGAGTGACTTGCTTTGATATATGCTGTTACAATTAAAATATTAAAGATAACTTTATCTTGATTAGAGGAAAGTGACTTTAAGGTTACTTTTGTAAATCGTACATGCCAATAAAAATGAAAGTCACATAGATTATAGATATTATTGAATACACATGTTTATTTAAATAACTTTTATTCCACGATTAATATTTTTGGTTTTAATTGATTTTTGGGTGACAAAAGAATTATGAAGCACATCAAGCCACGAAGTAGATTAATCTAGGCTTAACAGACTAGATTTAACAAATACTGGTTCAAGGGAGCTGTGTTGGGGTCAAATTAAGTACTTAGAAATCATAAACTTAACAATTTTACTTTGAGAGGTGTCCAAATTGCGTGGATATATTGTGGTGCTTATTAGAAATAATTTACACAAGTCTAAATTAAATATTGTGAATCCAAGTGAGTCAAATATAGAGCCCAGTCCGTTGAGGAAGGATGGAGGAGATAGGAGGTAAGGTTAATGGAATCAAAGGTAAGGTTGAGGGTATCGAAGGTAAGGTTGATGGTATCAGAGACATGAAGGAGAGTGAAGAGTGAAAGTTGGATGGATCAAATTCTAATATTCTTGGGTCTACATTGCGCCTAACCGGTATCATTATTATTTTTCACAAAATATGATATTTTAATACAAACAAAACACTACACCCTAAGCTAAGTGGAACTTGTAAAGTTTTATAAACTCGGTTTACCTAATTACATCTATGGTTCATTTTATAGCAGATATTTCAGATTAAAAAAACTTTCTTGATAAGCGGATAGTTTAAGCAGAAAACTTGGCGAAAAAAGAAGAAAATTTCAGGAATTAATAGAACTTTCAGAAATTTGCATGAAATAGTCAGATCCTTATCCACGTCATTAAATGGATCCTTTCACTGCTACAGATCTAATGATGGCAATTAACATTTTTATCTCTTTTTTAGAAAAAAAATTATTTTATGACCCAACAGGTTTGATCAAACTTTAAATAAACTTATCGATTCTGAATTGAGTCTACGGGGCTCGGATAATTCTTTAATTATTGAAAACTTAAATAATCTTATCTACAATGTAACACGCAATTTAAAAGCTTCGGCTCGAGTCGTATAATTCCTTAAACCAAGCTTTTAAAGGTGTGTTTATTTTTTAGAGTATTTGTAAAAAAAAGCATATAAGCATCCTAACCTAACTTGAGAAAAAAAATCAAGAAAATGTACTCACATGTCCTATAATTGATAAACAATTGCACACATTTAATAATAATGATTCCTGATTTATGTTTAGCTGTTGCTGGGCGGGTTGTAGAATAGCTTGATGTTTAGCTTATAGTCCCATCAGCATAGATCTAGGATCCTCTACTGCAGTCTTGATAGTTCTAAAAATATAATTCTAGATTAAGTAACCAAAGTTGCCCGCAGATTTAAAACACTTCAGATTTTTTCCGTGTACCAAAAATTGGATTTTCTAGTCCTAATTTTAGCAAATTTGGTCCAGCTGAATTTGACCAGCTATAGCTCATATATATATTATATATCCATACTTAATTTTATAGATAAATAGTTTGAAGAACACAAAAATGTAATGTTAGTCGTATCAATATTATATTTCATACCCAGTTTCATGAAAAACCTCCCTCTATGAACAAAATAAAGGATTTTCAAGTATATGGTAGTTTCTAAGATTTTCTTTTAATAAAATCCGAGAAATTTTGTTTGTTCTTGATTTATACTATATACAAAGAAAAAATGTCAACAATTAAAAAAGAAAAAGATGGTAGATTTGTATCGCCAGGTTAAACTATATTTTTTTGTATTGCCAGGTGTAAACTATATTTGTTTTTGTATTGCCAGGTTTAAACTATATTTGTTTTTGTATTGCCAGGTTTAAACTATATTTGTTTTTGTATTGCCAGGTTTAAACTATATTTGTTTTTGTATTGCCAGGTTTAAACTATATTTGTTTTTGTATTGCCAGGTTTAAACTATATTTTTTGGTATTGCCAAGTGTAAACTATATTTGTTTTTGTATTGCCAGGTTTTAAACTATATTTGTTTTTGTATTGCCAGGTTTAAACTATATTTGTTTTTGTATTGCCAGGTTTAAACTATATTTGTTTTTGTATTGCCAGGTTTAAACTAGGACGAACAGTTTATAAGAAGGATCCAGATTTCTCCAGTGTATACAAATTTCTGGGATATTTTGTTGGAAATACTTATAACTTTTTGTAAACAAAGTTTTCATCATTTCAATATGTTAAGTTGGCATGATTTTGTTCCATCTTGTGTGACTGGGCCAATACTCTAATGGACTGAAGCTCCTCGGGTTTATAGAGATTAGAGGTGTATGATGGTTTGCTACTTGATAGAACTCAGTCTGGACAGATTTGGACTTGAGCAAGGGTAATTATAGAGGTCGCCACTAAAGCAATGGACAGTGAAATCAATCCGTAAATAACGTCACTGATCCCTACACTCGCCTCTGTAATCAGTGACGTCATTAACGGAGTTCACTGTCCAATACTTATAATACATTTTCCGTACATTGGATCGAGAGTAAGCAACCATATATTTAACAACCTTAGACTTAGAGACTAAACGATAAACGTTCCAAGATAATGTAAGAACATTTCCCCTGCATTCCAGCTTGTTGCTGTGTCCTTAGTTTATCAATGAAAACTGTAACATCTGTAAATCACTGAGTTCAATATTGCAAGGATTATTCCTTATTTTGCTAAAAATTTCATTATCCTTGGGATAAAAACTATTTTGAAGGAAATATACCATTTCTTTACAATCTTCGTTTTCATGAATTATCTTTTATATTTCCGACATAATTAAAATAAGTTGAAAAATCCATTTGTTCTGAAAAAACTTGTCATTTATATCGACTGTTTTGTATTTTGAATTTTTAATAATTCCTAATTATTCCTAATTCCTAATTGTTAGCTTCAGATCATGTTTGAAAAAGAAAAACACTCTTAAGATTCATGACTTGAAACTAATCTACGTTTATATTTTAACTATAGCTGGCTAAACGGCTGGATCAAATTTGCTGACATTTTTTGGGGAACCCATGGGTACCCCTGGGGTTACATAGGCTTAAACACATTTGAAAATTTTCAAATACTATAGAACGTCAGCTAAAATCCCTATTTAATACCAGTGCGGGTAAACGGGCATGTGCAACTAAGCATATGAATAGTATGAACCTGTGCAACGCCGGATGCTCCAGCTAATTACAATTAATTACGCCAACAAGTTCACTAATTTACACAATTAGTGAGTCTAAGAAATAAAAGAATAACACAGCCACTCTGGATATAACCAGTAACCACCACAGAACCACTGTACTGTTTTTATCCATAAAAAAGATTAAAACTTCAAGATTTAATAAAAAAATTAAATTTATAGTGTCCAAGAAGAGACAAATTATTAATGCGTTTTGTTTTCCTATGATGATGTACAACTGATTTTTATGCAGGTGGATTGATTTTCAATTAATAAATTAATTTTAACTATTTTTTAAATTTTCCTTTTTTTCTTAAAAGCACAATCTTTTTATTTAAGAGCTTGTCCTAAACGATATGTTCCTAAACGTATAAAATATTAGAAAAATGTAGATAAATGAATTCTGAAGTTTGGGAAAAAAGTTTTTAAAAAAGTAGTGCAATTAGTGATTATGGCTACTATTGAAAGAGAACTTCTTCTGGACCATTTGGTGAAAAATCTAACTTTTATTAAAGTTCCGAGTATTACACTATTAAATAAATATACTAGCTGAAGTGCCCGGCGTAGCCCATGGAATTAAAAAGATTGAATTTGGAAAAAAAAATTGAGGAAAACATTTAGTTTTTTTGGCTAATGTTACCTCCAGGGTATCCATGGGTTCTCTAAAAAATTATTTGGTGAAGCCGTTTGACCAGCTTAAGCTAACATATATATATATGTATACAAATACAAGAAAAATATATACATGAGCGAAGAGGATCATTATATAGATATATATTTAGTGGATGCTGGGGTACAGTTAGATTAAACAATTTGTCCCTCGTGCATTTAACACGGTGGGGAAAATTGCAGCAATTTACTATTTACTAAGAACTGATTGTCGTCAATCCAGGTCAACTTCTATTTAAAGAGGAGTGTGCACGATTTATAATGGTACTCTTTAAATCTTCTTTATATAAATAAGTAGCTGAAATGCCCGGCGTTGCCTGTGAAATAAAAAAAAAATCCGAAAAAAATCCTATTGAAAATTTGTTTTAGTCTATGTCCACGGGATACCCATGGGATCACGAATTGTAAGTTAATTTGGTTCAGCTGTTTAGCCAGCTATGGCTAACAAGAAGAATATATATATATATGTGAGCGAAGAGCTTTATTATAGATTATAAAGATAGATCATTGTGTTCTTAACTTGGATTTCATGGTGCGCACTTCTTCTTGCAAGCGTTTTAATGTTGCTTTTCAAGTCTTCGAAGTTGGTAAAACTTTAAATTTTGTGAATTCTTCGGGTTATCATTGATATAATTCCAAAAAAAATATTTACTTTTGAATATTCCATAACCGTTCCCTTGGGTCGTGTGAGTAGCCACAAAAAATTGAACCCGATCGGTTCAGCCGTTTGACTTACAAATTTAAATATAGATGTATTGTACGCTATTGTTCCTTGAAAAATCTGATCTGTGCCTTGATATCATAAAATATAAAATGCACCAATGAATACTTATATTGAATTTATTTTCCTATTAAAACTATGTTAAAATTAATTTCTTCCTTACTTCCTTCAATGTCTCGATTATACTCGACAAACCTTATAATGTGATATGATGACAATATGGGATGGCGATGGAATTTTTATATGAATAACCAAGAATTTACTAAATGGGAATGGTAGAGATGTCATATTTGATGTAGGGGGGGGGGGGGCCTGCCTTCAGTTTTGGTTTAAATCTTCCAATTTTTTGGCTGTACGCCTAATTAGTGAACGAAATTCCTAAAATAAATTCGAATTGAATTTTAATGACCTCTAATGACCTCCACAAATAGAAAATATTTCAACTATGGCTTTATGCATATCCATTAAAAGCAAGAAACCCTAGGAATACAGTAGCAGCAACGAATCCTGTGTTTGACCTTCTAATGACCTCTTACGAACTCTTAAGACCTAAATGACCTTCAAAAATGAAAATGTTTTAACTAAGAGTTTATGCATATCAAACGAAAACTAGGAACCCAGGGAATACAGAAGCAGCAACGCATCCAGTGTTTGACCATTTTATGACCACTAATGTCCTAAAATGACCTCTAAATGAAAATGTTTGTACTATGGCTATATGTAAATAAATCAATGGGCCAAGTGTTAGTTTTGGAACTAACATCCCTTGAAATATCGGAAACCATGTATCAACTATCCAGTCATTCACATACAAACTTGATATATACACCTAGATTGTACAAACATTGCTGGATAAATTCAAAGTGTAACCGGAATCGAAACAGAGCTGAAAACTATAGAATGATGGATATCAAGATTAATGCTTAAACTCCTGGTTTTACTAAACCTCTTGATTATTTTATAACGCACTCGATATCCAGGAAAGAAGTTATAAATTTAACCAATCAGCAGTCATGTTAAGATGTACTCTTTAACTTTTTAGAAACCGGTTTTGATTTGAATTAAACTAAACATCGATTGAACGAACGTAAGTTTTGGATTAATGTTTACTAAGACGAACGTTCAAAATGACAATAGTCCTAAAATATGTTTTTAATAATTTTATATTAACATGATTAAATTTATATTTGTTTAAATGCTCTAAAAGCCGGCTTGTGAACAGCTGACTTTAATTCAATCGGATATTAGTCCACTCGATATAGTATCTGTAATTGTTAACAAACGTAACTTTTATACAGTAGAAATATCCAAAAAGAGAATTTTAAGAAGGAAATCAAAAGTGTGTAGATTGAATAATCAGATTATGCGATCGTGATTAAGGATATCTCATTCTAAAGTTTTCAGCTCTGGACACTTTTAATTAAGAAGTAAACTTTTGATTCTAAAATGCATTCAGTAAAATAGCGATTTTAATTACTTTTTAAAATAAATGTGGAAAGATCAGTGTTGCAAATTCTCTCTGATTTGACAGAATCCACATATTATCAAATTTATTTCCGATATTTTTCATTCTTTTACCGAGTTTTCTTAACTTTTACACACAAAACGGTATTAAGAAAAAGGGTCTTGCTATCATCAGTTAATTGTATCGTTTAATAAAATAGTACCTACCCCCCTCCCCCTTTAAATTTCAAAGGAACATGTTTGCAAAATCTAATAGTACTTTACCATACTTGAGAAATTAAATTACACCGCAGGTCTTCACAATATGTAGATTAATGCACACAAGTTCTAACCTCTGATGTAGAATACTAAAGTTTACCTCAGGAAAGTGACAGCTTCACGTCCATCTACTAGTCTATGATCGTAGGTGAGAGCAATATACATCATAGGACGGATAGTCACCTAAACAATACAATGGTCAACTTGGTTCCCAGATCGATAGTTATTTATCATTAATATGCTTTTAGGGCGCTTTCCCCCTTTTCTGTTAACACTTTTAGCTTTAAACTGTTGCTCTGAAAGTTGCCCATTTTAAATAATTTTAAAATTTTGGCGGATGTCTATTTTCTAATTGGCGCATTTTCAGAAAAGTACAAACTATTTTCCAGTATTTATTCTTCCAATTTTTATGTTCTATTAAACTTCCATTGGTTCATGTGAGGTCCTACACAAAGTTTGGGCCAGATCGGTTCAGTCGTTTTGTCGTTTATTGGATACAAACGGAGGGACAAACAGACAGACAAGTAACGTAAATATATAGATTGTGATTTGAATTTTCTCCGTAAAATAATCTGAAAGAACATTTTAAAAATACTGACAGTGATGTAAACTTTTCAGAATTCCCCCCTCTCCGTCCCTTGGGGCTGGGGGGCTATTTTTGATGATTTGGGGAGGAAAAAGGGAGGTTTCACCCAAAAAATGTTTTTAATTCACCCTAAAAATAATTTTGTTTGCCCATATTCAGTGACTACTTTGTTGTTGCATATGTAACTTAAGGGGGATAAAATGATTTTCAAAATGGTTGGGGGGAAATGATTCTGTTGAGAAAATATACACCCCTCAATACTGATTAAAAAAAGAAGTGTGTGGGGAGAGGGGAGTTTCGAGTAAATATATACCAGAGTACGTTTCTCAGTAACGAACTTACTGGCTTACTCCCCAAACGAGTCTAATAAATTAAGAGAATTCCCTGCTCGGTTTTTGTTCTCTTTTTATCTGAAGGGACTGTAAGCGTAATTTTAAACGACCCTCCATGCAAAGATATCAATGCCTGATTGTCAACGGTACCTTGAAATCGTTGTCTTAGATTTGCTTTTATTTCAACTTTCATTCACAGAAATAACTGTATCCGCCATATTATTGATCGGACCAAGGTATCAAGGGTACCGTTGTAAATTGGGCATTGTTATCTTTGAATGATGGGTCGCTTAAACTTACTCTTACAGTCCCTTTAAAGCGAATGCTCCCAAGTAAAATTGACTTGATCCAGAGTTGGTTTACTTTTTGTGATAGCCAAGTATTGGGGTACAGGGTGGCTCTCCGATATTAAAATTTACTACTTATCATAGGTTGACCAGATAAAACAATATTTGTAGTCGTTGTTGAAGCTTTTAATTTTTGAAACAAAAGCTGGCAAAATAAAAGGACTTTTATTAGCTATTGTCAATTAATGAAATATGTACTTCACAATTTGACCCAAGATGACAATACAATATGTGCCACTGTTTAGGGAGGGGGTTATGATCAAAATACTGCTAGTGCTCATTCTTCAACTAAAAATTTCCAGTTCACCCTTTCATTTAAACGACAGCTTGTAAAACTGTGGAGAACAGGAAACAAATTAAATTGTGAGAGAAAGAAAAGTCGAATTTATTCTTAAAGTTTGATATTCTTCTTTTAAACTTTTTTTTTAAGATGAGCAAACAACGTAGTTCTTAGTCTTTTCAAAATTGTTAGCAAATTTTAAATACAACTCCAATTTCAATTTTTGCACTTTCTGTATATTTATATAATATTTTCTAACCTGTCCGTTTCTAACAACTGGTCTCTCGAATACTCCATGCATACCAAGGATAGCAGACTGGGGAGGGTTGATAATAGGAGTTCCAAACAGTGAGCCAAACACTCCACCATTACTAGATATAACAATATTAATAATAGGAGTACCAAACAGTGCACGAAACACTCCACCAGTACTAGATATAACAATATTAATAATAGGAGTACCAAACAGTGAACCAAACACTCCACCAGTACTAGATATAACAATATTAATTAAAGGAGTACCAAACAGAGAAGCATACACTTCATCAATACTAGATATTATAATATTAATAATAGGAGTTCCTAACAGTGAACCAAACACTCCACCATTACTAGATATGACAATATTAATAATAGGAGTACCAAACAGTGAACCAAACACTCCACCAATACTAGATATAACAATATTAATAATAGGAGTACCAAACAGTGAACCATATGCTCTACAATTACTAGGTATAATATTAATAATAGGAGTACCAAACATTGAACCAAACACTCCACCATTACTAGATATAACAATATTAATAATAGGAGTAACAAACAGTGAACCAAACACTCTACCAATACTAGATATAACAATATTAATAATTGGAGTTCCGAACAGAGAAACATACACTCCATCAATACTAGATATTATAATATTAATAATAGGAGTTTCAAACAGTGAACCAAACTCTTCACCAATACTAGATATAACATAATTAATAATAGGAGTACCAAACAGTGAACCCTATGCTACACCATTACTAAATAAAACAATATTAATAATAGGAGTACCAAACAGTGAACCATATGCTCCCATTACTAGATATAGTATTAATAATATGAGTACCAAACAGTGAACCATATGCTCCACCATTACTAGATATTTTAATATTAAAAATAGGAGTACCAAACAGTGAAACATACACTCCACCAATACTAGATATAACAATCTATTTATAAATTTAGCTTGTCTGGGTGTTTGTTTGTTTGTGTCCAATAAACGTCAAAGCGGCTGAAGCAATCCGGCCCAAATTTTGTGTGGGACCTCACGTGACCCCAGGGGAGGTTTATGAATGATCATAAATTCAAAAATTAGTTTAAGTATTTTATTTTTGTAAAATTTTATAAAATGCGCGAAAAAATATGATGAAATCCGCAAACTTTTTTTGTTTTTGTTTTAAACTGTACAAAGAGAAGATGCTTACAGATAAAGCCACAATTAAAAGTTGAAAGCCTAGTATTGATAATAGGAGTTCCAAAAATTACCAGAATTAAATGCTACAAAATAACTTATTTGTACGATTAATTCTTAAAAAACATTTCAATTTCAACGTTTAACCCAGGTAACAAAAACATGAAAAAGTCTATTGAATAACTTATTTTAATGTTATTATTGAATATGACGTCTGTTATTCTTGTCGCTGACTGGATTCTTTACATTGACTGATAAGAAAGGAAATTTTTGTTTGAATGAAACTTTTTTGGTTTGGGACCTGAATGTGTTCAAGGAACTGAAATCTCTGCATTTCAGGATTACACCGGGGAAATAATTCATATCTGCATACAAATAGAGAGCAGGAAAACTCAAAAAGAGAGCAAGAAAACCCAAATAGAGAGCAAGAAAACTCAAATAGAGAGCAAGAAAACACAAATAGAGAGCAAGAAAACCCAAATAGAGAGCAAAAAAACCCAAATAGTGAGCAAGAAAACACAAATAGAGAGCAAGAAAACACAAATAGACAGCAAGAAAGCTCAAATAGACAGCAGGAAAACTCAAATAGAGAGCAAGAAAACACAAATAGACAGCAAGAAAGCTCAAATAGAGAGCAGGAAAACTCAAATAGAGAGCAAGAAAGCTCAAATAGAGAGCAGGAAAACTCAAATAGAGAGCAAGAAAACTCTAATACAGAGCAAGAAAACTAAACAGAGAGCAGGAAAACTCAGGTAGAGAACAAGAAAACTCAAATAGAGAGCAAGAAAGCTCAAATAGAGAGCAGGAAAACCCAAATAAAGAGCAAGAAAACACAAATAGAGAGCAAGAAAACACAAATAGAGAGCAAGAAAACTCAAATAGAGAGCAAGAAAACGAGCAAGAAAACACAAATAGAGAGCAAGAAAACTCAAATAGAGAGCAAGAAAACACAAATAGAGAGCAAGAAAACTCAAATAGAGAGCAGGAAAACTCAAATAGAGAGCAGTTAATGCTTGATTCACAAGATTTTAACGTAAATTATTTTAAATATAAAAATTTTGTTCCCTTTCATGTCATTAATTTCCTGGAATTTGATGGTTTGAATTCTTACCTCTTCGAGAAGATTATTTTTGCGAGTAGACAAATTACTTTGACTACAAGTTTAACAAAACAAATTATTCATATTTTTAATATATTTTCACCAGGAATTTGTTGCTACTTAATCATATTTCAAAATAATGGGTAAATATTAAAGGTTGTGTTAAATCAAATTAATGGATATCTACCTAATAATGAATCAAAAGGGATATATATCTACCTGATGGTAAATGTAAAGGGCTGGATATCTACCTGATGGTAAATGTAAAGGGCTGGATATCTACCTGACAGTAAATGTAAAGGACTGGAAATCTACCTAATGGTAAATGTAAAAGGCTGGATGGATATCTACCTGATGGTAAATGTAAAGGGCTGGACATCTACCTGATAGTAAATGTAAAGGAATGTACATCTACCTGATACTAAATGTAAAGAGCTAGATATCTACCTAATGGTAAATTTAAAAAGTTGGATATCTACTTGATGGTATATTTAAAGGGCTGGATATCTACCTGATGGTAAATGTAAAGGGCTGGATATCTACTTGATGGTAAATGTAAAGGGCTGGATATCTACCTGATGGTATATTTAAAGGGCTGGATAACTACCTGATAGTAAATGTAAAGGGATAGACATCTAACTGATGGTAAATTTAAAGGGCTGGATATCTACCTGATGGTAAATGTAAAGGGCTGGATTTCTACCTGATAGTAAATGTAAAGGGTTGGACATCTACCTGATGGTAAATGTAAAGGAATGTACATCTACCCACTGGTAAATGTAAAGGGTTAGAATCTACCTGATAGTAAATGAAAAGGGATGTACTGTACATCTACCTAATGGTAAATGTGAAATGCTGAATGAATAACTACCTGATAGTAAATGTAAAGGGCTGGACATCTACCTAATGGTAAATGTGAAATGCTGGAAGGATATCTACCTGATAGTAAATATAAAGGGATGTACATCTACCTAATGGTAAATGTGAAATGCTGGATGGATATTTGGATATCTACCTGATGGTAAATGTGAAATGCTGGATGGATATCTACCCAATGGTAAATGTAAAATGCTGGATGGATATCTACCTGATGGTAAATGAACCTCCATCCATATCCTCAACAGTGATTGCGTTCTTCTTTGCTTTAGCACCTAGCTCCGCAATACCCTTCTCAATATCTGCATAATTCATCTCCTGAACGTTTCTCAGAACAGGAACCACTAGACCCTAAAGCAGCAGTCAATCAGAGTGTCCACATAAATATAAATGGTTATATATTTCATCATCAGTAAATTAGGAAAGCAAGATGGGGTTTCATGAGAATAAATAAATTAAAAAAGTGAAAACAAAATCTTTAAAATTCTTTCCCAAATCACAACTCGATGAAACAGAACTTATTATTTACCTTGGGAGTTGCTACAGCTACAGAAATATCAACATAGTCCCTGTAAATTATATCCTGACCGTCAATAACAGCATTGACAGTTGGTTGCTGCTGCAGGGCGTAGGCACTAGCCTAGATAGACACATTCATACACTCAGGGGTTTAAAAAAATAGCCCAGGGCAGTATAACGTATGGCTGAGGGAAGAAAGCTATTTTCAAAGGAACACCTCCTATATAAAAAAATCTAAATTTCAGAGTTAACTTTTTTTCTATTGCGTTTTTTAGATATTTCTAGATGACTGAAAAAGAGACCGGGATAGTTCAACCGATTTCCCGAATTTCTTAAACACTTGATATTTGTATTTTCAGAACAGAGATTTGTTTTGTGTATTTAGGTTTAGGATCCGCAATTGTATTGCGGATCCCAACAATGCCTCTGACAATATCTATTAAAATAATGATATTTGAGTGTGTGATGTTCCTTGACGAAAGCTGACATGAATCCCATCTTGATTCCGTGTCTTTTAACGAACGCATCTTGATTATCCTTCCGCAACTGAAATAATGATAGATAATTATTATTGAAAAGGACTGTCATTGCAATTTCGATTGACTTTCCGTTCGAAGAGGGTCATGTCTGTGAATGTAACCTTTTAGTCTTCATCTGATCAATAATGTTCAAAATATCGTCGTTTTCTAAATAGCAAATGTTTATTTTCATGTGAATTTGGATATCTCGTACATTCTCAATCAGACAAAGCTTTCCTGGTTACAGTTGTGAATCGTACAATGAACATGACTCTCTAAAATGGATTCAATTGAAATTACGACTTTTGTCCATTTAATGATGAAAAAATAATTTACTCTTTATCGCTTTATTAATAAAAGGGAGTGTTCGCGAAAAATGACAGGGTGTAATTCATGATACTTTTGAAATTTATAATTAATATCTAACTTAAAACTTATTTTCACGGCTGGCACTGGATTTTCGAACATTCCTGGAAAATATGAAAATGTCGTCTTCATTATCAAAAATCCTCAGAACAAGAACGAATATTTTCAAAAGTAACTCTCAGATTAAAAAAAAAATATTATGAAATATTAACTATATACGAATGCACCGTAAAAAATTCTATGATTTTAATTTGTAATTTCTGAATGATTTGTTTGGAATTAGATTTAACAATCCGAGTCGAATATTGCAACTTTTTGAATTTGTATTGACGCTACGTCCTACGGTATGAGTCGTTTTTACCAATTTTCTCGTTTTAGACGCAACAGATAGAAATAAGATTGGTCGCAATCACCATAGAATATTTTTCGACGAAAGCCAATACATACTACCTTTCATTTTTCGCGAACACTCCCATTAACAGTGAAACAATGTTCTTCCCCCACAAAAATAAAATAAAAAAATAATGATTTTGAAAAAACATAAAACCGTGATCAAGAAAGAAAGAAGATGGAAAATGACAGTACCATAAATTGCATCATACCTGTAATTTTATGTAAAGTACAGAGTACTCCTCTAAATACATTTAAAAAGTTGATGAGACCAGATAATAAGTACGGTAGATGAATGTAACATAACTAGTTTCCTGAACTATACTAGACATTACAAGTTACCTGCATAATACCGGACATATCCAGTTCGTTAAAGGTGGTGAGCATAGCGTTTGTATTCTGTGCTTCCTTGAGACGTGCAGCAATCTTGAGTCTCATACGGTTCATCTTGACCCTAGCATATACACTGGTCACCAGAATGATATTAGTAACATCAATTATTATTTGATGCCTATAAGCAAAAGTTTATAAGAAGGGTAAAACTATTTGGCACTTTCCTTTTTCCTTTCCCCTTCCCTTCCTTATTTTTTCTTTTCTATCATTTTTTCCCTCTAAACCCTATGAAAGCTCATATTTTTGCCTCCCCCCGGAGGAAGAGGAGGGCAAACAGAAAAATAAACACCCCTGCCCTCCCATGAAGGAGCATGAAAATCAATCTCTTTTTAGAATTTTATCAACGATAAATATAAAAGTTCATATTTGAGAGAGCTCTTAATAGATATTCAAAAATAACCGAGAAACCTTTTAAAATATGGAACTTAGAGGACAGAAATAGAACTCCAAAAATAATTATTTTACAAATTTGCTACAATATCATAATTCATAATCCAAAAATATCTAACCAGATCCTCCTATCAGAGATATTCAAAAATGTTAAAAATATATTCAAAGTTTAAAAAAAAATAATATCGAAGAAATTACTAATCTTTCCCAAATAAATTGTCTGATTTATTCACAGCTATCAAAAACACATTGACAACATTACTTTTCGATACAGGTTGAAATTTCATTCAATTCCGCCCGTTACGAAGGGAAATAAAATCTGGATATTACGTTAACAAGGGGGGCAAAATGAAATAAATCCATTCTCGAGGTTACAAGGATATTCAATTCCTTGAAAATCAGCTACCCATTTATTTTTCTCTTCATTATTCAGATAATATAGGACCTCCTCCCCGCATCGCTAAATTATGAAAAACAAATATTTGTTGTAGGGTAAAATTTGATTATTTGTTTTAAGTATCAAGGGGGGGAGGTCGGGAGGATTCTTTAATAACAAATCAAATAAATACCCCTTTAAGGTTAGATACCTGTGTTCAGATCTAGTTCCAACAATCTCCTTGGTAGGATCTGCAGGAGGCATCTTCACCATAGGAGCAGCTCCAGCACTAGGTCTAGCAGGCATAGGAGCAGGAGGAGGACGAGAGCTAATAGGAGCAGCTGGGACTGGGGGAGGGGGTGGAGGAGTGCTGGGGATAGGAGCTGCTGCTGCAGGGGCAGGGGAAGGAGGAGGAGGTGCAGCAGCTGCTGGTGCAGGGGCTGCAGGTGCAGGGGCTGCAGCTTCCTTCTTGGGAGGAGCAGCTCCTGCAGCTCCAACCTTGATCTTAAGGAGGACTGTTCCCGGAGATACAGTTGATCCATCCTCAACCAACAACTCTGCTATAACTCCAGATACAGATGATGGAACCTGGGAAAATAGTTTGTATATAAAAAAAAGTAATCTCCGTTTGTTTGTATGTCCGATCAAAACTTAGAAACCCCTTAACCGATTTGCCTGAACTTTTGACTGAGGAGCTCATTAGAAGAACGAGAATTTTCTCTGCTTGGCTTAGGTCTCAAGCTAGTATAATATATCTTCCTTCACTATATATAGAAATGTTTGCGTGGAGCAAACAAAACTTTGAAATACTGAATTGAGGAAAATTTACGAAGGGAAAAGTTAATGATTTTTGAGTAAAAAGTATACAAAAATAGCCCTAACAGAGCGTACAAATTGTTAAATTTTTTAGCGCGGAAAAACGGGAAAATAAATCACCCATAAGAAGGAAAACAAAATCATTTTGGTGTAAGAAGAATAAAAAAATTTCCAAATATTTTAGGAATGTTTCATTGTAATTTGTAATATCATAAATAGTTTTTTTGATTGAAGAAAAAATTGTTTTGAGTAGTGAGTATGATCCAACTGTCCAAAATATATACACCGGTTGTATCAAATTTTTTATGTTTTAAACATTAACTTTAAATATAATACTTTTTTATAGGATTTTAGTTCTGAATAGTTACCGGGACACTGGTTTTATCAGTTTCGATATTACAGATCACTTCATCAACAGATATACTGTCCCCAACAGCTTTCTCCCACCTGAAATAAGTTGACCGTGTGATTTTATGGTTTTCCGTTATTCAGTGCTTAGGATCCGGATGATCCACAACATTTTGGCTTCCTAGATCCGGATCCGGATCAATGGGGAAAAATATCAAACAAAGCCATAAATGTTGCTCTCAAACACAAATTAAAATTTTGATAATAAATTTACAAAAGATTCCATATTTCTGAATGTTAAACTAAATTTCAGCAAAAAAATAAGCCAAACAATTTAGTAAATTTAATAAAATTTTAATTTTTTAAAAATCACTGAATCTTGAAGAAATGTTCACTTTTCAGGACCTGGATCCGGATCAAAATGAAATGGATCCTAAACACTAACGTTATTCATTCATTTCTTCGAATAATCATGGTTCAGGTGAGAGGTAAGGATTTACCCCTACCCAAGGTTTTCAAAAACATAATAATCCTCAATAATGTTATATGTGCCGCGAAACTTCACGTTAATATTCATGGTAGCAAACTTTTTAATCAGGTTCTTCTATTTTATAAATACTGTAGATGTTAGCAAATCCCTAACAGCTTTATGTCAATCTTGAAAAAAATAGGGTGATGACATTTTTTCTAAAAATGTTTTCTAAAATATTTTTCAGATGAAAGTTAGAATGACTTATGTACGTTTTACAATCCAATCAGACGATGATTAAAATACATTTTGAAAAACTTATTTATACCACATTGTAACTTTGTAAGTGCTAAGCTTCTTTAAATAAAAAAGTAAACCAAATATTTTTGGGATATTATAAGTTATAATATAATTAGTTATTTTGAAATGTTTTAACTTCTACACAGACTTAATAAAAAGGCTGAATTACACATCTGATTGTTATATATTAAGTAGACTCAGGAGACATAATAGAACAGAAAAATACAGAACTGACACCTCAATATATATGTCCTCCTTGCTACATAAATAACAAAAATTTATAAAAAAAGCAATTGCTCTAAGACTATTTATTTATATTAATATATTTCTAGTCAAGTGTATACTAATCCTGATAAATAAAATTTCCAGGGAGGTCTTTTAAATATGGATTGGGGGGAAAACACAACACGGTTGATAAAAAATAATCTGAAATTCTAAACCATATTTAAAAAGTTTCACTTGATATTAAAAATTTCGTTGAAGAGAAGATTAGAACTAACCTGACATCTCCTTCACTGATACTGTCAGCAAAGGGCGGACAGACGACATCCTTGATCTCATTCCCCAGCACCCTGGATACATGGAGACCAGACCTAGGCACCACCAGTACCCTGCACCTAGATATATAGATATCAGAACCCTGGACACATGGAGACCAGACCTAGGCACCACCGGTACCCTGCACCTAAATATATAGATATCAGAACCCTGGATACATGAAGACCAGACCTAGGTACCACCAGTCAAAGTGAATAAATACTAAAGTGGAACAGACTAAGGAAACGACGACAGGTTGGGCCATAAGGGTTTATTTGGTTTGGAAATAATTTCATGAAAAGATTTCGTTTGGAAAGTAAAGACTAGAAAAAATAGACTAAAGACCCATATAAATGTCGAATATCAGAACCCTGGATACATGGAGACCAGACCTAGGCACCACCAGTACCCGGCACCTAGATAAATAGATATCAGAACCCTGGATACATGGAGACCAGACCTAGGCACCACCAGTACCCTGCACCTAGATATATAGATATCAGAACCCTGGGTACATGGAGACCAGACCTAGGTGCCAACAATACCCTGCACCTAGATATATATACACATCAGAACCCTGGACACATGGAGACCAGACCTCGGCGCCACCAGTACCCTGCACCTAGATAGATATATATCAGAACCCTGGATACATGGAGACCAGACCTAAGCGCCACCAGTACCCTGCACCTAGAAATATATATATATATCAGAACCCTGGATACATGGAGACCAGACCTAGGCGCCACCAATACCCTGCACCTATATAGATAGATATCAGAACCCTGGATACATGAAGACCAGACCTAGGCGCCACCAGTACCCTACACCTAGAAATAGATAAATATCAGAACCCTGGATACATGGAGACCAGACCTAGGCGCCACCAATACCCTGCACCTAGATAGATAGATAGATAGATATCAGAAACCCTGGTAACAATGAGACCAGTCATTCTTGAAAAAATAACACCCACTATTAATTTTAAGTAATTATCTACAATAGCAGCTATCAATTTCTTTCTTAGAAGCTTTCACACATTTCAAAAATATGCTAAATCTTTAATCGGCTTTATGGTTTACGAGTATCTACCCATTGTAAATAGATGAGAGCACTCCATTGCTCAATCACATAAAATTACGTTGTGACAATGCCTTCAACATAAGAAAAGTCAAGTCATATTTCAAGAGTCAGGATTAGAAATATTTTCTTCTAGAAAAGAAAAGGAATATACGTGCATATATAAATTCCTTGGCAAAGTTCCAAAAAAGTTAATTTTTACATATTAGACCATACGGCGGATTTTAAAGGTTAAATAGCTAATATAATTGGTAGCAAGTTTCGACAAAAGAAATAATGCGTGACAAAAAAAAGTTTATAACCTCAAAAACCACAGAATAATAAAACACACGGTGGTTGTTTAATTCATAAATTGAGTTGGACTATGTTCAGACAATTTCTGGGCCGAACATGGCGGCCATGGGTTCCGAGGGGGGAAGGGGTGCGCTTCAACCACTTTAAAGACTGTTAAACACAATTTGTATGCTGAAACGTGAATTAGAGACTATAAATTTAGTCAAACTTATTTAATCTCCTTTTCTTAATAACATAGTTAAATTGTGTAGAATTAAAAACTAAATTTGGGGCTAAAGCCAAAGTTGCGTTTCTTGGCAGAAACTAGTTAATCTTCAGCTAAGGAAAGGGAGTCGACCGAGGGGGGGGGGNAATTTTAACTTTTTATTTTATGTAATTTAAATGTGAGATTAGGTTGAGACAATTTCTGGGCCAGCGCTGTGGCTAGGCCAGACTAGGGGGGCCGAGCGCTGGGGTCCAAAATACGTTCTCTAGGAAATTACCAGAATAAATACTTACTCAGACTTGTTGAGGTTTGTGGAGCTAGCTTGCTCCAACAATTTACTGCAGACGACCGGACCCTGAACACGAAATAGTTAAAACCGGAGAAATATTAATATATCACTAAAATTTTAGGGTAAAATGAGCTTAACGCACCTTATGAAGAGATCTGTTAAGGGGCGTTGAGATGGCCCTAAGGCCCCTAAGAGTGTTCCTAGAAGCTAACATGGTGGGCTTGATGGACTGGTACTGCAGGAAAGCCGTAGCACTGTACACTTTCTGTTGAACAGCTGACTCAAGTGTTCAATCAGCTGATTTTCTTTCTTTTACAGGGTTCCCTCAATTTTCTGTAGAAAAATATATAAAATGTACTTTCTTCAATAAAATTAAAGTTGCTTTTTAATTTAGTTTGATCTTTTTGTACCTTAATTAATAAATCTTAAATTGCGATTTACAACAATTCATTTCATGGATTTTATAAAGTCCAACGTTTAGATGAAAAGTCGTCTTTTTAATTTCTTTTTTGGAAATAATATTTTTTTTTCTATTAGATCTACAGGGTGTCCCACGAAACATAACAGTTGTTTAATAGTTCTGAATGTCTTCTTCCTTATATCATATTGGATATTTAAGACTTTTTGTATGTCATTTCGCCAAAAACTTTTTTTTTTCAAATACCTATTTTAATTTGAAATCATATATTTAAGGCATATACAATATTTTTCATCAATTCTCTTTAATATCAAACAAAAGACTCAAATTTTCTAATCCCCTAGCTTCGAAACCTGCATGATGGTGTAAAACTTATTTCAAACTTAGGCTTTTTCAAAGTTTGAAACATCTTCGATCCATCGGGTTGCACAGATATAGGAATTTAAAGTTTGAAGTTTTTGGCAAAATCTCATAAGTCAAATATATGTTATAAAGAGGGTTTCCAACGATTATAAGTCACATTTACCAATCGTTTTATGTACTGTAAATTGGCAAAAGGGTCAAAGGTCCCTTGCCTCCACCCCCTCCCTCTGGTCTTTCAGTTATATTAAGTTTATTTAAAAAAATCAGTTTATCTTATTATGAACTATGTCAATATATTTTATAGTTTAAACGAACATAGTTGAATGTTTGTTGCCAAAAGATAAGAAAAGAAAAGATAGAGAAAAGATAAGAAAAGAGAAGATAGTGAAAGATAATGTTTTCCTAGATATAACTAATCATATGCTCACACAATTAAACTAGAGTTAAGACTGCATTCGAGGACATTAAGTTTTAGTAAATCGTTTGATTTAAATATTTTTGTAGTATCCACCGACATTTTAAAGGGACTGTATAAGTGTAGACGTGATTATAAGTGACTCTTTATTTATAAATATAGCAGCAGTACCCTTTAAGCTTTGTCTGACAAAGACTCCAAAAGATATCCATCATCTTCTCTTTAAAAGTTAATTATATTTAATTGTGGTTTCTCTGTAAAGTGACTTGGGCATTTCTGATCCGGAAACAATGAACAAAGGTTAAAGAGCACTGATGTTGTGAGTCAGGCATACCCCTTCTTGAAGTAGAAGGTTACTTGATATTAAAACAAGTTCAGTCCCTTTATTAATGAATATTGAGATATCTTGCAAGGTTTAAACTAATTTATAAACATACTCAAATTACAGTTTTTAGAACTTAAGTTATATGTGACTATTTGATATAATTTCTTAATATTAAAAAATAAGTGAGATTAGAAACATGTCAAAAGATGCAAAGGAAAAGATGAAAATATCAGAATTGAGGTAAATATATTGAAAAATTATTATGGTTTGAATAACAGAAAAGAATGGCCTTTTTTCAGAAACCCCCGTTTTTTTGTTTTTAAAAACGAGTGTACTATACTGACAGCTGTTTGCACAATGGTTCTGAGGTTGTAAGCTCTAATACCGAAATCATCGAGAATTTTGCCAATTACTTTTTTAAAACTAACGGTAAATGTAAGTGTTTTATAGCCCTAAATTGTACTGTAGAATTAAAAAAGAACTGGAAGATTGAGTGGAAAAAATAGCTACAATCGTAATTGAAAGCGTTGATAAACGGGGGGACTAACTATGACTACCCTGGGTAACGCTGGGTTCCCAAGTGAGTAAATATACTAATTGAAATGGTAGGTTCAAAAAAAAACATCTTTTTTCTCTTTAATTTCTGATTTTTTTAGGGTTCGACCGTCAGCAGATCTGCTAGAGTCTGGTGAGTAAATAACATGGGCGTTAGAAATCTATAATGTTACCATTAGAGCTGGGCATAGCTTTTTTGAACGAACGAATTTTTCGTAAAAAAGGGTGTTGCTAAGAAAAAAGCGGATAATGGATGGTTCAGAGAAATGAAAAAAATATCCTTTTTTTAAGACTAACGAAAATGATCTTTCATTTTACTTAACGAACGATTTTTGGAACAAAGTTTTGAAAAAGCTTTTTACTGAACAAATAATTTTTTGAAAAAATACAGTTTTTTACTGAACGAACGATTTTACTGAACGAACGATTTTACTGAATGATCTTTCACGAACGATGAACGAACGAACAAAATGAAAAAAAAGCGAACGTGCCCATCTCTAGTTACCATGACCAACAGTATTGTACATATACCAACATAAAATTAAAAGAAAAAGGCTTGTTGTAAATAAACCTTTTCAGAGCCTCAAATTACCTGAGGAAATATAAACAGAAAGCCTTCTTTGGAATTTAATAATGAAAATACACTAATTAAAAAAGTTAGTCATTGTTTTAAAATATGTACGCAAATGTCTAGAACTGAAAACTTTAGAAAAGGGTTAGCCTTAATCCTGGGCTGTTAATTAATCTGGAGACTAATAAGAAGAGGAGAACAAGCAATATTTAATCTGAGGATTAAGAAAAAGAGAAGATCGAGCATTGATCTCGATATCCACCATTCTAAAGTTTTCAGTTCTGAATCTTAAAGCCTTATTTTTTTACATTTTGAAAATTGATGAAGTTACTAAAAACAATCTGCGAAATCCTTCAGTGATATTTTTTATATAAAATGCAAAATAACAACTGAAGCTCTCAATATTTCAAGTTGAATGCTTTGTTTATTTAAATATTTAATATTTATGTTAATTGATCCCTGCCGATGCAGTTAGGGAGGATGTAAAGGAAAATCCTAAAACACAAATCCAGGTAAATTTCATGGATATATTTTTGGTTTCAATAATCTACTGATTTAAAATATTTATTTAACGTTATATACAAGGTCTCCTTCTCATAAAGTAAAATTTCTAAAGTTTAATGTTCGATTCACAAAGGTACGTTTGTTGTGGATATTTTGACCAACCTCATCTTTTGGATAATCCTTGGATATCAGTTTAGTCTGGATATTAGTCTGAGACAAGCACTGTATTCTCTAATCTCTGAATATCTGTTTAAGTCTGGATATTAGAATGAGACAAGCTCTGTATTCTCTAATCTCTGAATATCTGTTTAGTCTGGATATTAGAATGAGACAAGCTCTGTATTCTCTAATCTCTGGATATCTGTTTAGTCTGGATATTAGAATGAGACAAGCTCTGTATTCTCTAATCTCTGGATATCTGTTTAAGTCTGGATATTAGTATGAGACAAGCTCTGTATTCTCTAATCTCTGGATATCTGTTTCGTCTGGATATTAGTATGAGACAAGCTCTGTATTCTCTAATCTCTGGATATCTGTTTCGTCTGGATATTAGTCTGAGTCAAGTACTGTATGCAGCAAATATTGAGTAACATGATATTTTGTAAACCTGAAGTACGTTGTATATTATTAACTTTTTATGTTTGTAAACTTATACGTAAAACCATTCATTGAATCTGCGTTTCAATTAAATGATTAGCTTAAATTGTGGGATACATAATGGCGTACACCTTAATATATAGCGCAGATTTCAACTGTGTTTTAATATGTAACATGATTTCCTTAATCATGTGATATAGATAATAACGTAGGAATTGTTAACTTTAACTTCTAATATATAAACCAAAAATACATTAGTTAATATAGAAACTCCGCTTTGATACAGCGTAGAATAATTTCGTCAACGTTGAAACTTTCAAGCTGAGATCGTATATCCGGGCATATGGTACAGATCGATCTTGCAAGCTTGTTTGATAGCTAATTGTGTCCTCGTTAAAACATACAGGCTGAAATCATACCTGAGTATTTTGTGTAGATCAATTACGAGCTTGTTTGACAGCTAACTGGTCCTCGTTAAAATATACGGACCGAGATCATACCTCGCGCGGTATTTGGTACAGATCTATTAAGAGCTTGTTTGATAGCTAACTGTGTAATTGTTGAAACATACAGACTGAGATCATATCTCGGTATTTGGCATAGATCTATTAAGAGCTTGTTTGATAGCTTACATATATCCTCGTTGAAACATACAGGCTGAGATCATACCTCGGTATTTGGTACAGATCTATTACGAGATTGTTTGATAGCTAACATATGTCCTCGTTGAAACATACAGGCTGAGCTTATACCTCGGTATTTGGTATAGATCTATTAAGAGCTTGTTTGATAGCTAACTGTGCCCTCGTTGAAAGATACGGACTGAGATCATACCTGGGTATTTGGTATAGATCTATTACGAGCTCGTTTGATAGCTAACATATGTCCTCGTTGAAACATATGGGCTGAGATCATACCTCAGTATTTGGTATAGATCGATTACGAGCTTGTTTGATAGCTAACTGTGTCCTCGTAAAAACATACGGACTGAGATCATACCTGGGTATTTGGCATAGATTGATTAAGAACTTTTTTGATAGCTAACATGTGTCCTCGTTTAAGCATATGGGCTGGGATCATATACCTTGGCATTTGGCATAGATCTTTTAAGAGCTTGTTTGATAGCTACGCTTGTGTCCCTGTTTGACATTTAGAGCTTGATTGATATAGCTTGTTTGATAACTTCACTTGTGTCCCCATATGGTATTTAGAGCTCAATTAATAGCTTGTTTGATAGAACAACTTTTGTCCCCGTATGGCATTTAAAGCTCGATTAATATCTTGTTTGACACCTGCGTTGTGTCCCTGTGTGGCATTTAGAGCTCGATTAATAGTTAGTGTCTGTATTGACATCGATAGCTAATGAGATCGCGCTCAGTGGTAGTGGCGTTGATAGTTCAAGGGATTATAGCCATGTGCTGTAATTAATAGTCAAGAGAATCTGTGTGGTACCTGGATAGATAGGCTTTGCGAAACTGTTATGGAGCAGGCGTTTACAACATGTATCCTCTAATCTCTGGATATATGTTTAGTCTGAGACGGCAAGTCTTGTATTCTCTAATCCTAGTATATCAGTTTAGTCTGGATATTAGTCTAAGACAAGCTATGTATCCTCTAATCTCTGGATATATTTTTAGTCTGGATATCAATATGAGACAAGTCCTGCATCCTATAATCTCTGGATATCTGTTTAGTCTGGATATCAGTCTGAGACAAGTCCTGTATCCTCTAATCTCTGGATATCTGTTTTGTCTGGATATTAGTCTGAGACAAGCTCTGTATTCTCTAATCTCTGGATATCTGTTTCGTCTGGATATTAGTATGAGACAAACTCTGTATTCTCTAATCTCTGGATATCTGTTTTGTCTGGATATCAGTCTAAGAAAAACTCTGTATCCTTTAATCTCTGTATATCTGTTTAGTCTGGATATTAGTCTGAACCAAGCTCTTTTTCCTCTAATCTCTGGATATCTGTTTAGTCTGGATATTAGTCTGAGACAAGTCCTGCATCCTATAATCTCTGGATATCTGTTTTGTCTGGATATCAGTCTGAGACAAACTCTTTATCCTTTCATCTCTGTATATCTGTTTAGTCTGTAATTATCCTCAAATCTCTGGATATCTGTTTATGTCTGGATAGAAGTCTAATTCAAGTGCTGTATTCTGTAATCTTTGGATATCTGTTTAGTGTGGATATCTGTCTGAGACAAGCTCTATATCCTCTAAACCTCTGGATATCTGTGGAAATGAAACAAAGGAACAAGTTTGATAACACATATTTTAATCACAAAGGGACTGACTGATTTACTTCCAACTATAACACTAATTTTCTATTACCAATATCTTTTTTACTGTTATGGCGTAAACCTTTGATAATTCAAAATTCGACTTATACTTTCAGAATTCACATTTGTTTACAATATTAAAGAACATTAGGTTGCACATATATAAGAAGTTGATAAGTAAGGGCTCTCGAAAAAGTCTGAAAACTTGTTCTTCGCTTGAAAAAGTTACAATTTTACTAAACCCTTTCAGAGGGAACTCATCTTGAAGTTTTTGTCTTGATTTTCCTTCCTTGAATTCTTCAGAAAATACAAAAATATTATATGACTAAATATCTTGTATTTTGGACCAATTATTTCTATTTTGTTCCTCAAGCCGCAAAAGCTCCAACTAACGAGAGAGAAAACAAAAGTATAAAAACTGTAATAAATAAAAAACACATTCTGTCCCAATTAACATTAGTTAATTTACAAATCATATTTGAGCCAATGATTAATTACAGGCCTGAGCTAAAACTTTAGAATTGGATACCCACCAATTGCATTTGCAATCTAAATATCCACAGGCAAAATTTAAAGAATTTGAGCCGCAGCTTATATTTGAGACGCGGCTTAAATATGATGAATGATTCAAGATTTAAGCCGGCACTCAATTAAAACCATTTTTTGGTGGATTTGAGACGCGACTCAAATTCTTAAAAATCGGATTCAGTATCCACTGTAGTGCACAATTGAGATTTCTACCTAATCCGCGCGTTTCCCTTTTTATATATCACCTACCGAATTCCGACCAATCAGAGTTCTCTCATTACACGGCGCGTAAAATTTTTAATTTCCCGGCTTCTTATTGGCTGTTTGGGATTCTGCATACACCCTTATACTCTTTTCGGGTTTCAAACTAAAGATTAAATTAATCTTGAGATTAATTATAAGAAGAGATCCAATATCTCAATATCATAATTCTAAAGTTTTCAGCTCTGATTAAATAACGACACTGATTGTTTTCAAAACTTAAAAAAAGTGAGTCTTTAAATTTTTACAATGATTTTCGGCATTTTTTTCTTTGAAAGTAAAAGATTTTATGATACTTTTTTAAATATTATAGCTGCCTACAACAGGACCAAGCCACATTTCCTGATACCAAGTGTTTAAGATTTTTGAGTATAGATTCACCTTGATAACGTTTTTGTAATTCTGTTGAATTTTTAGATAAAAGACAAAATAATAAGTAATAATATATAAAATAATAAACCTTTCTATGTCAATTTTGACGCTATGGGACTGTGAGGGGTAATGCTGCTGCATATATATATCTGACACCTGATAAAAATCAAATGAATAAAAAATAGATTGTCTACTGAGTCTACTTTTTGAAATAATCATTTATATAAGATAGTCTAATTGTAGACAGAGGGAGAAGTAATCCAACCTTTGCGAACTATTAGAATACAAGTTGAATTTATAAAATATAAATTATTTTGCAATTGATCGAACTTGATCATCTTTAGAGAGGATCAAGAATTATGTGGGTTCATCTCCAGGTATCCTGATCCTACCCTGATCCTATCCTGATCCTATCCTGATCCTATCCTGATCCTATCCTGATCCTATCCTGATCCTATTCTGATCCTATCCTGATCCTATTCTGATCCTATGCTGATCCTGTCTTATTCCTATTCTGATCCTATCCTGATCCTATCCTTATTCCTTATCCTATTCTGATCCTATCTTGATCCTATTCTGATCCTATCCTGATCCTATCCTGATCCTATCCTGATCCTATCCTGATCCTATCCTGATCCTATCCAGATCCTATCCTGATCCTGTAATGATCCTATCCTGATCCTATCCTGATCCTTTCCTTATCCTTTCCTTATCCTATCATGATCCTATCCTGATCCTATCTTGATCCTATCCTGATCCTATAAGTTCGATTATTAAAGGCAAGTATCTGTACAGAATGGGAGCAGTCCAGTATGGTTATGATGACAGGTATATTTTCTAATATCCATTTCTATCTATCTATCTATCTATCTATCTATCTATCTATCTATCTATCTATCTATCTATCTATCTATCTATCTACCTCTATCTTATATAAATACATATACAGATATAAGATCGGGAATAGGAAGATAGATGTATACAAATAGATTATCAAGTACAATAGGTGGCAACAGAGAAATTAACTAATTATGCACGACGTCACAAGTGTCAAATATAACAAGGAAAACGAAATTTACTCAAATTAGTTGACATGTTTGCCAAGATTAAATAAAAAAGTGTAAAAAGAGAATCTAAAGAACACATAAAATTGCACTTATTTTACTGTAAGAAAAGCAATTTATTCCAAAATTATCACTATTATTGATGATTTTGTCGGACACAAAAACTGAATTGATACTTGTGACGACAGAATACAACTGTACTGAGAGTGTAAAAATTCTACGTTGCCATCTATTGTACTAGAATCTATTTGGATGTATCTATCTGGTTGGATGTACCTAACCATTGTGGTAAAAAGTCTTCCTTGAATTTGTGGAACTGTTTACTTTAAAATATTCCGAATCTCCTGCAAACCAATTAATTTAAGAATATATTAATATTCACTTGAATTGAAATTGTTCAGAAGAGTAAATAGAAAGGATCGAATGATAAGAATTCATGCTTTGTAATTATCCTTTTACCTTTCAATTAGGAAAACAATTTTTCAATTGAAAATTGCAATATGTACATATAATAAAGTTCTTTCAGTCAAAACTCAATGTTGACTTATTTTCTCCAAACTTTACAAAAATATGCTGTTTTCTTGTTGGGATAGTTTTTGTTTAATTTTCCTTCAAAAGGAGATGTCATACATTTTATCTTTTCTTATAATATTGGGATGTAGTTGCATTGTAACTTTTATTTTAAACAATATTTATTAGATATATTTATTCGTGCATACACAATATCAAACATACGAATGTTACAGATGTAGAAAAGACCACGTGTAGCATCCTAAATTCTCCAGGAATCTATTCCAAAACTGCTCTGATCTTAAGAATCCTACTTTTCAGGAATCCATTACACAACTGCTCTTTTCTGTAAAATCCTTACTTTTCTGGAATCCATTCCACAACTGCTCTGCTCTGTAGAATCCTTTCTTTTCTGGAATCCATTCCACAATTGTTCTGATCTGTAGAACACTACTTTTTTGGAATCCAGTCCACGATATGTTCTGCTCTGTAGCATTCTTACTTTTCTGGAATCCATTCCACAAACTGCTATGCTCTGTAGCATTCTTACTTTTCTGGAATTCATTCCACAACTGCTCTGCTCTGTAGAACCCTTACGATTCTTGAATTCACAATTGCTCTGATCTGTAGAATGCTACTTTTTTGGAATCCATTACACGAAATTTTCTGCTCTATAGCATCCTTACTTTTCTGGAATCCATTTCACAAACTGCTTTCCTCTGTAGTATCCTTACTTTTCTGAAATAGATTCCAGAGCTGTTCTGCTCTGTAGTGTCCTTACTTTTCAGGATTTCATTCTATGAACTGCTCTGCTCTATAGCGTCCTTGCTTCTCTTAAGTCCATTTCATTAACTTCTCTGCTTACCACAACTACTCTGCTCTGTAGCATCCTTGCTTTTCTGGAATACATTCCACAACTGCTCTACTCTGTAGCATCCTAACTTTTCTGGAATCCATTCCATGAACTGCTTTGCTCTGCAGCATCAAACACTTTCTTGGAAACCATTCTACGCACTGTTCTACTAATAATCTGAGTTTGAAATATCAAAGGTTTACAACATTGGCTTCTAAAGATATAAGGCTCTATCAAGCAGTACAAAGGCTACAAATTCTCCAGTACACATGAAATTAAAGGAGCCGTCTTTGTTCAACAATTTTCACTTTAATCAGTTTTTCCCAGATTTCTAAGTTTAATTGGGAGATTTGCATTATTCGGAACCATTTTATGAATATAATCTATATTAATCTTTAGATCTATCAATATATTGCAAAAAGTTGGATTTATTAGTTATATAGTTGGATGTGTCCATCGAATATTTTGAATTTTACTTAATAGAAAATATCAATATTTTTTGTCCGTTGGACGGTTTTGTGTCCAACCTACAGTGATAACCAGAAAACTCTGAAATAGGAAGACGACTTTTAGCATCAAGTTATAACTTTAAAATGTCCAATGAGCATGAGACACAGCCACAGCAATTGTGCAGTGTAAAAAGACCCAATTCATTAATTTAGTTAGTTAATAAGCGTCTAGTAGAACTATTTGCTTTGCAATAACAAAAAATACACTTTATTATTTCTATAAAGTCGTTTTCCTATTCCAATGTTTTCTGGTTATCACTGTAGAAACTTTTCATTTTATATCTGTATATGTATTTATATAAATCTATCTATCTATCAATATATCTATCGAATTTATAGTCCTTGTTTGGGGCTGAGCACCCCTATTGGTATCCAGGGGGAGGCAAGCCCTCTATGTTTAATCTGAAGAAATAAAAATATTTTACTTTATTTTATTTATTACAAGGTTCAGAGGTTCAGCAAGATCCAGATTCTGGTTCAGTAAACACAGGTATTATAGCTGAGGATAGAACAATCAATCAATTTTTCAATTCATAAGATGTGTCGTTTAATCAATGTGTTAACTGTAATAACAGTTTAACACCTAATAAACTGTCTATCACATCGTTATTCAGCATAAACAATTACTTATCAATTCTAATATTAATTAAAAATAATAATTTTTGAAACTAATGATGAATGAAAAGTAGATCTACGTTTGATGAACAACGATTTTAACCTTTGGGAGAAAATAATCTGTAAAAAGGCTGTTATAGGAACAGAGTTCTTAGCACAAACTATAATTTTTTATATCCATATTTTGCAACCCGATGTCGGAGATCTTAAACATTTCAAACTAGGAATTTGGTTAAATCAAATAATCTAAGTTTAAATATTTAGTTTACATCATTCAGGTTAGAAAGATATAATGGTTTAGAAAATTTATTTTTGTGGCAAAAACTCAGTTTTTTTATTTAGGATTATCAAATCTACCACAACAGCATTCACCTGGAAAGGGTAAGGTATCCTGTTAGCTTAGAAACAGAGATTCTCAAAATTTTGTGAAAATGAAGTTTGTTGAAATGATTTGATAACTATTAAACTCGGTTACATATAATCCTTGCGAAAAGGAAATTTTTTTAAGCTTTTGACATTCCAATTTTTGGTCACCACTGTTTGCATTGGGCAGAAGAACATAATTATATGTAATTAATACCGTAAATTTAGAAAGATAAAAAAATAAGAAAAATTAATATAAAAGAGAAATACTGAAAAATCGGAAAAACATTCCAATTTTCATTTTAAAAAAATGGAATGTTTTTTTACAAGTTGAAATGTTTTTGAATAAACCTTTTTTAGACTCGATATCTCGAAGTTTGTCCAGTTTGACAAGCCCTGGTCAGAATGGATTCAAAAGGCCAAGGTTAGATTTTTAGATTCCTGGCACTTTTTTTAAGAACTTAAGTAGGACTACTGAACAGTGAACACCCTCTTCAAACTTGAATTTTCTAACTCCTATATTTCCGAACTTAAAGCATAATGGTTCAAACCTTTGATATTTTTGACTATTTGATCTGCACTGCTCCACTCTCCAGAGAAAACCTTAGCATTTTGTCGCCGATAAAGCATTTTGCTCCAAATGACGTTTTAGCTTTAAAAAAAGGCCTATTTTTCGAAAATGTGCTCGGTTCCTTTTCCGCAAATTATCATATGCTTTTTCACTAACTAAACGTCGTTTTTTATACTAAAAGTGGTACCATTTATGGGGGGGGGGGGTTGTCATTTTAACATTTTGCTCTATAATGCTGTTTTAAATGTTCTCGAACTAAACTATCTAAAAATCATCGAAATTGTTAAATTTATTCTATTCTGTATTATAAAACGTAAAAATAAAATAATTATTAAAATATTTTTGGAAAAAAAGACTGAGCACATTTTTAAATATTAGCCCTAAACATTTATTTTTCATAGACACCCGGTATATGCACAAATGATATCCCATGTTTAAGTTGATGTGTTCTGCATTATCCAAATATGTTATTATTCCCTTTAAAACTTTACAAATTGTAGAACCATTCATCGGTGTATCTTGAAAACCTCTACAAGTCTGCAAGATGCTCTGGGGAGTGGTTTGGTGTGTCATGTTTGTATCTCAGCATATAGGTAGGTATAGATGTAGTTGAACTACGTAGACACGTTGAACCACTTTTCTTACACGTGAACTGGCGGACATTGCTTAAGAAAAGTAAACCCACGTATTTCAACATACCTCTAGCTATTCGTTTAACTTTACAACTTAACAACAAAACAAACTCAAAACACAATTTTACAATAATTTTATTTTTGTACATGATCTAACATATATTATATTGTACAGTACATATACGAGCAATCCAACCTACCTGGATACTACCTGCCCGAAACTGTACATATGATATAACTATATTATATGGTTCAGTACCTATAAAAGCAATCTAGAACCCACTTGATGGACTTGATGGATACTTCCTGTCTGAAACTGTACATGAAACGTACATGAACTGCACATGATCTAACTATATTATATTGTACAGTACCTATAAGAGCTACCTAACCCACTTAATGGATACTACCTGTACATGAACTGTACATGAACTGTGCATGAACTGTACATGAACTAACTATATTTTATTGAACAGCACCTATAAGAGCTACCTAACCCACTTAATGGATACTACCTGTACATGAACTGTACATGAACTGTGCATGAACTGTACATGAACTAACTATATTATATTGAACAGCACCTATAAGAGCTACCTAATCCACTTAATGGATACTACCTGTACATGAACTGTACATGAACTAACTATATTATATTGAACAGTACCTATAAGAGCCACCTAACCCACTTAATGGATACTACCTGTACATGAACTGTACATGAACTAACTATATTATATTGAACAGTACCTATAAGAGCTACCTAACCCACTTAATGGATACTACCTGTCTAAAACTGCAACAAGGAAGAAATATTCTAAATACAAAGGATTGTATTTATTCAGCAGTCAGGTAAAGAAAAGGAATTTTATTATTCGCCACAAAATCTAATTACCAATATCATTGCAACCTGGGATCAGATTCAATTAATAGCAAGACATAGTTACTACGTTAGCTAATTTGAACAACGTATCTTCAGCTTGACTTGGCGCACAAGAGAAGGGTTCAACTATATCTGAGCGTTCAACATTAACTTGTTATTCATCATATCTGAGGCCGAATTTAAAGAATTTAAACCGCGTCGCTGATCCGCTCAAATCCCAAAACACTGTATTCTCTATTTCAAGTGAATCAAACCATGTTTGAACCGCGTCTCATAGTTGAGCCGCGGCTCAAATTCTTTATATTCGGCCTCTTGGTTGGTCAAGGTATAAGGTTAGATATAGTTATTAAGATACGTATAGGGTTACCAACAATGAGATTTTTATGACAACCTTGACTTGGTTTTACAATACGAAGGTTGAATTTTATTATATTCACTCATTTTTGAATAATCTTGTAAAATGAAATATTTTTACAGTTGCAGGGATCTATAAATGCAAAAAACCTAAATACATATTGTGCAGTCGTCTCTGAAGTCTCATCCTTTATGGGTAATAGGGTTGTTGACACAAATAAAAGAACTAAAGGGATATTCGGTAACTTTATTGAATAATAGCATGAAATGAGAAATGAAAGTAAAGTTTAAAAATATTGACCCTTAAAAGGGAGTATCTAATTGGTTGAAAATGAAATAACATTAATTATTGGCGATGAAAGGAATGGAACAGTTGGAGCTTCATGATGGTCAGCTCAAAGGTGGCAGCATCTTGGCAGCAAAGGGTTCACATCTAGGCAACGGTCCTGGAGGGTTTGCAGTCTGTAACATGTGTGGGGAAGAACGATTTGCCTCTCATACCACAGGACATGCGACTGATACTTAATGGTGAGAAACCATCTGAAAATATTCAGATTTAAAGAAAGAGGGAATTTTTAAGAACTTCAATATTTTGCAGATAATGTAATCACAAAGTTTATCGCCAGGAAAGTTTCTTGCACTAGTCTCACTTCTCCGTTTAAGTCTCCTAGAATGGAGATTTTATTAATTGAGTTTCTTTTAGTTCTTAAATGAGCTGCACATTGGTAATCGTCTTCGTATTTACTTGAATTTGTTACAAGGGTATGCAAACTTCTTAAAAGTCACATCTCTAATACCTTTTCAACTAGCCAGGTACATATATATTATATAAGCGGTTTTATATTGGTTTTATATCACATGTAACTAGAGTTCGGAACTTTTGTGTGGATATTGTTAATCTTGCCAGATTGATCTTGATATTCAATGTGAGAACTTTTGCATTTGAGGATCAATGCTTGATCCCTCAATTAAAGTTATCGCTGCAGGGCATAACAATAACGGAATATAGAAGAGGAATAAGATTTATGCGTAGATCTGCATATGATGTAGATAAAAGGACTTTACACTCATATTGGAACAGTATTGCTTAAAATCGAGCTAGCACTATAAAGTGGTCAGCTGGGGAAATAAAGTTTGGTTTAGATAATTTTAGAGTTATTGAGTCAGCCTGAGAAAGGAAAATAATGCAGTCAACTATAATATATTACAATGCCACTAGAGAGGAAAATAATGCAACTTCAACAATAATTTATTACAATGCTAATAGAGAGGAAAATAATGCAGTAAACTATAATTTTTATTATAGTGCAACTAGAGGAAAATAATGCGGTCAACTATAATTTATTACAGTGCAACTAGAGAGGAAAATAATGCGGTCATCTATAATTTATTACAGTGCAACTAGAGAGGAATATAATGCGGTCAACTATAATTTATTACAATGCTAATAGAGAGGAATATAATGCGGTCATCTATAATTTATTACTGTGCAACTAGAGAGGAAAATAATGCAGTCAACTATAATTTATTACAGTGCAGCTAGAGAGTAAAATAATGCGGTCATCTATAATTTATTACAGTGCAGCTAGAGAGGAACATGCCTCCTCAACCCCTCCTGTAGTTCATGACTTCACCACACTTAAAACAAGTAATAATATCTTTATTTGAGAAATTGTTCGCCAAAAATGATTTCTCATAAACATAAAACATTGAAAATCTGTGCTTCCCATTTACCTCTGAAGCAAACATTTCATCATTCAACTTTCTCAAATTAATTTCTTAAAAAAACAAACACAGAATTTAGATATTATATATACAATCCCCTAGAAAATACTTCATATGCAAAAGATGAAATAAACTAGAAAAGTTTCTAGGAAATGATTGACATCGTATTTCTTTGTTGTTTGGTTAATTTTAAATTTTGTTTTCATTAAAGATCATGATGAAATCTGAAAAGTTTCTCATATTTCGAACTGTTATCTATAATTTAGCTTTTTTAGAATTGTTTTGTTATTATTTCTTTTGTCAGAGTAAAGGTTTGGCACAATTTGATTAAAACCAATCGTATACTTTATGTAAAGGTTCTGCCAAAGAGACTTTCAATCATTATTTGAACCATTAACCCTATTCCTGNGGGGGGGTCAAATTGACCCCCCCCCAGCATATCCTGGTTTTCAAGTACCCCAGCAGGGATAGGGTTAAACATAATTTTTTTCCTAAATACTTTTTTGTTTTGTTGTTGGATTTCAAATAGAAGAAACCGAATGCTTCTCAATCCTGGGTGACATGTGGCCTAATTTTAATTGACCCTTCATTTAAAGAATGAGATGTCTGATTCACAACGGTACCCTTTACACCTCTATCTAAGGACACTACGGTAAATATCTAAGAATGTGTTCAATTCTTACGATTTTCTTTATTGTCTCTATAACATTATTCATAAGTCACTTTTATAGAGAATCGGACTGCGATATAAATTAGGGGTCACTTGAAACTAAGTCACAGTCCCTTTAAATCCCTTAAAATAATATTGTGTCTATATTATTTAGATATACTCCGTGGTATTATGAAGGACACCCCTCTCGAGGAAGTTCTAAAAAGCAATCTTCCAAAAAATACCAAATATCCGAATATGGAAATATCTTCAAACAATCCAATCAAAAACCTGAAACGAGCAAGAAATATGTAAGAAAACGTTTGTTTACAGTTTAAAAAATTCTGTTTTAAAGGGACTACGCACGATATTTCAGAACCTCAATAAAAGAGTCCGATTCACAGTGTATACCCTTATACACTTTATCCGACTATCAATGAAAAATATATCGTAGTTTGTTTTATCATACAAAATTCATTTGATCAATCTTTCTGTCTTTGATGAAATATCAATTTAAAAAAAGATCATTTCTCTTATTTTTACTTTTTTAGGTTACCATTGCAAATCCGAGATGTAACTCGTGAAATTACGTTTACAGTCCCTTTAAATTCACCACTTACGACAATTACGTTTATAGTCCCTTTAAATTCACCACTTACGACAATTACGTTTACAGTCCCTTTAAATTAACCACTTACGACAATTACGTTTACAGTCCCTTTAAATTCACCACTTACGACAATTACGTTTACAGTCCCTTTAAATTCACCACTTACAACAATTGTTCCTTTAGCTTTTTTAAAATATTCCGAATTCCGAAATTGTGCAATTACATTTACAGTTCTAGCTACTGTCCCCAACACTAGAGAAGAAATTGAACTATCCTTACTTAGTTGAACTACGTCCTTGTATATTAGGTACCAGGTAGGGAATACTCCAGACCTGGATCAGGATATTCAAATCATCTTCGATCAAATTCATCCTCATTCCTTCCTTAACAAGGTCCGTACAACAACGATAAATTAGGGGTCCTGGAATTTTGGCTTCCAATTGGAATTCCGTTGCAAGGAATTGTGTGGAATTGTGAGAAATTGCGCGGAATTGTGAGGTATTGCGCGGAAATGCAGGGCTCACCGCTCACAATTAGGTGCAAATAAAATCCATTTACGTTGGAAACCCTACTGGAAGTCAGTGAGTCTTAATTTTGGAATCCATTATATACAATCCNTAAATATTAAAATACAGATTCTTCTTTTAGATAATTATTAGATATTATGAAATATCACAGAATTCCTAGTTTGAAATATCTAAGGTCTACAACATTGGGTTGCAGGGATATGCGATTTATAAAATCAGAGTTTAAGGCAAAATCTAAGTTCCATGGCATGTTCAATTTTAAGATGAAAAAATCTACTAAATATTTTATCAAGTCATTTATTATGTACTAGCTCGGGAACCCAGCTTTGCACAGGGTTATTTCCATCGTTTACCCGCGCTTTGTCGTAAATTACGATGAAAATCGACCCATTCAACTTAGAATCTCTAAACCAAGCTGACCACATTCCCGTGGGTCTCCCGAGTTCCCCAACCAATGTGAGGCAAATCTGTCCAGGGGTTTCCGAGTTATGATCAGACAAACAGAGATTACAACTTTATACATTTATATATAATTTATATAGATTTGTGATTCTTTTGTGAGTCATTAATGGTACAATTTAAATTAAGAAAAACTTAGCTAGACTAGAGCTAGTCACATTGACAATTCCTTAATTTAATTATATATATTTTGCAGAAGGCTAAGCTTAGCACAGAAACCGGTTTATTAGATGAAGAGGAGAAGAAAAATACTAGAGGAACAATAATATCAAAATTTAAAGATTTTTTTAATAAAGATATTTTCTTTTTATTAAATGTTGATTAAAATTATCCTTTTTATAAGATATTAAAAAATTTTACCTAAAGAGATCTACTTCAAAATATCTTTAGGCATTTTTTGTTACTTTTAAAAAACGTTTTTAAAATATCTTACTTTGAAATATTTTTAAATTATATCAAATAAGCTGATATGTAATATTTTCTCATTGTTTCAGTTGATATAAAGAAAGAAGTTGAGCATGTACTGCTTGGAATAGGAGATCCTGGTACGCGTTAAAGGGACTGTTTGCATAATTTCAAGTGACCTTCAATTCAAAGAATAATATCCCAATCCCGATTCACAACAGTACCCTTTAAACCTTTAACTGATCAAGGATGTCGTACATATCATAGTTATCAATTTACAGAATCACTTTTAATTTCTAAAAACATTGTTTGCAAGCAGTTATATATTTAAGAAATATTAATAGTTAATTTCTTTAAGTTGTAGAAATAGAAATTTACTTTGAATGTTTGAAAACGCTGTAAAAGGAAAAACAGTCTATAAATTTTCGAGTTTGAGTTCAGACTGTATAGAGCGCATGCAGTGCCATTTTAGAGGAATTCAAACCGGGTTTCGATACGTTTAAACAGAAAGATCTCTCTACTCGATGAACAGTTAAAAAGGCATTTAAGGTACTGTTGTGAATTGGGCCCTATTCTATGGGGGGGGGGGGTATTAAGAATTTATTTAACATTTTTCCAAAATGCTTAGAATTTGATGATCAAGCTGCCTCCGAGACCCTTCTAATGCTTTCTTCAGTTAAAAACTCAAGTAAGTTTAGAAAAATATAAACCCCGGAAATCCATCTTTGATCTATGCGATCTCTTATATAACGTTTGAATATTTGATTTTTTCTTCAGAATTTATATTCGTAATGTTAAAGGGACTGTACGTAGAGTTTAGACATAATTTCAAGCGACCTTTATTTATGAAGATAGAGATGGGTATCGTTTTCGTCAACGAACGAAGTATTTCAAAACGAAAAAAATTTTCGTGAAGAACCTTTGAGAAGATATTTGTATAAACTAACTTCAAAAACGAACCAAAATAACGATCGTATATTCAAAGTTCAAAAACTTTAAAAGTTTTAAAAACAAACGAAACTAAATGCCAACACTACCGTTTTGTCGTTTCTTAGATGCAGAAAGCAACAGAATCTATATGTATAGAGTTAACGGTTTGTAAGCTAGATAAAATTACGAAGATATGTTCCCCATTGTTTAGGCTTAAAAATGGTTTCAAGGGTACCGTTGTAAATTGGACATGTTACTCTTTGACAGGGGTTCACTACAATTACTTCAACACTTCCTGATCTAGATGCACGCTAACATATCCTTGCTAGACGAGGTTTGTTAATCCTTTTAAAACCGATCGAAAAAACTGCAGTTTTTCGTTTCGTTTTAAATTTTTTCTAAATACGATCGTTTTGTGAAAAAGCGATCATTTTTGAAAACGACCGTTTTTTAATACGAAAAACGATAGGTTTTTTTACAACGAAAAACTATCGTTTTTTGAAACGAGCGTTTTTAACTAACCGTATCAACTATTGTATCAGCTAGACCACTGTAATATATCCTTGATAGATCTTTGTGAGATGTAATATATTTAGATGTATCACCTATTGTATCAGCTAGACCACTGTAATATATATCCTTGATAGATCTATGTGAGATGTAATATATTTAGATGTCACCTATTGTACCAGCTAGACCACGGTATTATATCCTTGATAGATCAATGTGAGATGTAATATATTTAGATGTATCAACTATTGTATCAGCTAGACCACTGATAATATATTTATATGTATCAACTATTGTATCATCTAGACCGCTGTAATATATCCTTGATAGATCTATGTGAGATGTAATATATTTAGATGTATCACCTATTGTATCAGCTAGACCACTGTAATATATCCTAGATAGATCTATGTGAGATGTAATATATTTAGATGCATTAACTATTGTATCATCTAGACCACTGTAATATATCCTTGATAGATCTGTGTGAGATGTAATATATTTAGATGTTTCAACTATTGTATCAGCTAGACCACTGTAATATATCCTAGATAGATCTATGTGAGATGTAATATATTTAGATGTATCACCTATTGAATCAGCTAGACCACTGGTATATATATATCCTTGATAGATCTATGTGAGATGTAATATATTTAGATGTGTCACCTATTGTACAAAGCTAGACCACTGTAATATATCCTTGATAGATCTATGTGAGATGTAATATATTTAGATGCATCAACTATTGTATCAGCTAGACCACGGTCTCCCTGGTTTACAACAAGAGAGCAGGGTAGGATAATCTCCTATTGTCCATGCAGTGCTGCACTCAGGCTTCAACCTTTAACAATGCAGGTATACGCTCACCAAGTACTATGTATGTAATGTGACCCAACGCGTTTTTAGCATCAAATGTAAGCAGACTGATCTTGAGTGCGCTGAAAATACTATTAAAAATTTAATCATTCTTATTATCACATCTCTTCTTCATAATTTATTTCATTAAGTTTTCTTCTGCAGCTGACTGACCCAGGTTCGGGCCATTTTGAAAAAAAAAATTCTTGGTTTTCTTCACTCTCTGATTAGTTATTCATTTGGTGTTCTGTTACCATGCGACACATTCTCTTTTCAAATGTTATATTTCGCCAAGTTTCATGTTCTGTCCTTTCGGCTATATTTCTTCTAGATTTAACCAATAGAACGATCGGAATACTGGTTAATAGGAGGTCTTCAAGGACATAGTGAGCCACGCACATTTCGCAGATTTTCCTAATACCATTGGTGGAACGAATTTCTTTAAGGTTAATTTGCTTACCACTCAATTCATATTCCCCAAGGTCATGATCCTTAGATGGAAAAAACATACACACATTCAGACACCCAATCCTAAATTATAAACAATATAAAGCTTGAGCTAAAGAAAATCTAGAATTAAGTTTTTAGACATATATTGCGTTTAATTTTTTTCTTAACCGCGAAAAATCAAAGGGGGTATAGGCTTAATGCGATAAAAAAGCGCTTTTGATCGCTACAAATCTTACTTCTATCTGTTGCGTCTATTAGGAGAAAATTGTTAAAAACGACTAATACCGAAGAACGATAGTGTCCATACAAATTCAGAAAGATGCAACATTCAACTCGGATCGTAAACAAATCAATTTAATTCCAAACAAATCATTCAGATATTACAAACAATAGTCATACATTACTCTTCGACGCATTCGTAAATAGTTGATATTTCATAATATTTTGTATTTTTCATGATCTGAGAGTTACTTTTGAAAACATTTATTCCTGTTTTGAGGATTTTTGATAATGAAGACGACATTTTCATATTTTCCAGGAATGTTCGAAAATCCAGTGCCAGCGAAAATTATTTAAAAAAAGAAAATCAAAACACTCCCTTTAAATTTGATCTTTTATATTTTAAACTGTTTCAATTTAATTCTAATCTAACTATTAGTTCCTCCTCCAGAGGTTCATTTCCAAACTTTGAGAGTTTGCGATAATTTGGGAAATCCATTCCAACCATTCAAAACCCTCAATCCAGTTCAAACCATACATTCAAGTTTATATTAGTTGACGGGGGAGGGGGTAGGGGGTCTTGGAGGTTGAAGATAGATAGATAGATAGATAGAGTTTGGCAAATTTCACCCCCTCCCTGTAGTAAACGCCTACTCCAAAACAATTTCTCGATACGTGTCTTTCCATCTATCAAGCTCTAATGCCACACAAGGACAGAAGCTTAGCTATCAAAAAAGTTATTTTTTGAGTTCTAAATGACACACAGGGACACAGTTTAGCTATCAAACAAGCTCTTAATCGATCTATACCAAATACTGTTTGATCTCAGCCCGTATGTTTCAACGAGGACACATTTAAGTTATCAAACAAGCTCTTAATCGATCTATACCAAATACCCAGGTATGATCTCAGCCAGTAAGTTCAACGAGGACACAGTTTAGCTATCAAACAAGCTCGTTAGCGATCTGTACCAAATACCCAGGAATGATCTCAGCCTATATGTTCAACGAGGACACAGTTAGCTATCAAACTCTCCTATCTCAAGTCTAGGGAAAAATCATGGGGGGAAACCCCCCTCCCCCCCCCTCAGGCTATATTGGATAAAAATAGCCCAATTGGAAAAGGTGTTAAAATTTTATCAAACAAAATTTGCGTTTAAATTCAGATCTTTACATTTAAGCAAGACTGTTCGGTGATCATTTCGGTGATCATTTCGGTGATCATTTCGGTGAACAATCCTTGTATAAGACGAAAGGATAAAGTTTTCCAACACTTTTAACACTTTGACAGTTTTTCCATATGAAGGAAAAGGAAAACTGGAAATGGTCACTACTTTATGATTTTCTTGTTTAGAAGAAACTCAGACTATTTTCATACCTCTTGCTTCTCATTATATTTATTTTCCAACCATTGCATTTTCAGAGCTGTATTCTTTTCTCTATATTACTAAACCTTAATATCGTAAAATTTTCAGATGCAAAACGTGATTCAACTAGAGGTTTGGTAAAATTTTAGCTTGACTGAAAACTTTTGAATGACCGGGGGAGTTGATCTCAAACCAACAGGACATCTGAATTCTTATGGATCAACAAATTTAGATCAGCTAGTTCAGTGTTTGCTACCTTGTTTGTGATATTTGATAAAACTAATAGATTAAACTCTTACAGTTTCAGTTACTATGGAGTTCAAGCTAAGCAAAAAAAAAAGAATAAAAAAGTTTCCAATAATATGTTTTTTTTTAGGAAAATGCTGTGGATATCTGTGAAGAGAATGATCTGCACAAGAAGCTTTCAACTTTTCTTATATCTTTACTCGGAGAAAAAAGATTGAGGTAAAATTGTTGAACCCTATTCCTCCTGTTAATGTGATCGTGTAAAGAAATGTCCCCCTTCCTCCAATGTATGTTTACATACACTAAAAAGTGAATTGGTCTGAAGCTGTTAAAGTTTTCTCGCTTTACAAAACATGAAGTCCTCCTATTTATCTAGAGATTGGCGCGTTCGGCTTTTTTCATTTCGTTCGTTCATTGTTTATGAACAGTCATTTTTTTTTTTCAATCATTCAAAAAAATTGATCTTGTTCGATCTCAACATTTTCGTTAATTTTCCACCTTTTTGTTCGTTTTCTCGGTGAACAATCGTTCAGGAAAATTGTTCGTTCAGAAAAATCGTTCAATCAGAAAAAACGATAGTCGTAGCAAATCGTTATATTAGGAAAAAATATTGCTTTTAAAAAAAATGTTTGAAATAATCGGTCTTTAAGTAAAACAAATATAGTTTTTTCAAAAAAAAAATCGTAAAATTCATTCATTCTGTTAAAAAAACGAACATTATTGGCTATGAACGGTTAAGATCGTTCAAACAATTTTAAATCGTTCGTTTTTGTTTTTCGTTCCGTTTTTATAAAACTATAATTTTTTTATTTCTCTGAACGATCCATTTCGTTCGTACATCATTCGTCTTTTATTTCTAAAAGACATCTTTCTAACAAAAAATTTCGTTCATTAAAAAATGTTTGTTTGTTCATAAAAACGATGCACATCTCTACCTTTATCCCTCACTTAATTTAGGTCATTTACATACACTCCCATGTAGGGTTTCCAGCGAACGAAAACTTTCGCAAAAAATGCTAAAATTTCGTAAACTTTTTTGCGAGATTTTGAGATGCAAAATTTCTAGAAAACAATTTCGAGAAAAATAATTTTGTGAAAAAAATTTCGTGTTGTAGCTTCACCAATTAAACACAAACAAACTTGTGGAACGCCATGCATGAAAAATTGTCAAAAAATGACTAAATTTTATCCGTAGAGTTCTCTTTGGACACCCCATGCGGAAATTAATCAGTCATTTCTTAATAATCATGATTACTTCTATTACTAAATCATTAAAAACTTTTATTCAAGGGGGGGAAATCATATTTATTCTCCAGATCGTCATAAAAAAAAGCCAAAATTTAAATTCCCAATTTCCAGTTTCAGGTAGTCATTACAGCTGTCTCGATCCTTTGTAGGTAACTCTCTACCACAAACGATTCATTTCAATTTCGGTTCTCTTCAAATATTTTTTAAAAAGCATTAGCTGTTTTAATTTTGGTTTTATAGTTTATTTTGTATAACACAAATCTTAAATATTTGCTGACTTGCAGGTATTTTTCCAACGACTTCTTTCGTTTTATTTCATTTATTTTATGATTTTGTGGTTCTGTTTGTGGTTTTAGGAGTTGGTCCTTCACTTCTTTCAGGCACCATTCTTTTTAGTGAAAAATATTTTGTGTTTAGGGAGTATGGTTTTCCCAAACTTGAAATGAACAATGTTCTGAAGAAAATACTCACTGTGGCCAATGTACCAGTTGCCAAGGTGAATATTCTTACAAAGTCTTCACTTCATCTCTAATTTCATAGATTTTTTGAAGACCTCTACATATATTCTTTTCGACCAGTTACTCTTTGAAAATTCCCAAGCAAAAAACTCATTACTCCTCTATTCATGGAAAGCTCTCCATTTTCTTCCAGATTATCTTCTGATATTACTCCTATCACATAAACTCTCATTATCCTCCAATTATCCTTCGTTACACTCCAATTACCCTCCGATTATCCTTCGATTACACTCCAATTACCCTCCAATTATCCTTCGATTACACTCCAATTACCCTCCGATTATCCTTCGATTACACTCCAATTACCCTCCAATTATCCTTGGATTACACTCCAATTACCCTCCAATTATCCTTGGATTACACTCCAATTACCCTCAGATTATCCTTCGATTACACTCCAATTACCCTCCGACTATCATCCTATCATCTTCCACGAATCCTCTGATTATCCTCCCATTAAACTCTTATTATCCTTTGATTATCCTCCGATAATCCTCTGATAGCACTCAGATAGTAATTTTTCAATCACATAGCTAGCGATTCTAATATCTTCTAGTAGTACTTCGACTATCTTCCAGTAGTACTTCGATTATCTTCCAGTAGTACTTCGATTATCTTCCGGTAGTACTTCGATTATCTTCCAGTAGTACTTCGATTATCTTCTAGAATTACTGCGGTAATCTTCCAGTAGTACTTCGATTATCTTTCGGAAGTACTTCGATTATCTTCCAGTAGTTCTTTGATTATCTTCCTGTAGTACTTCGACTATCTTCCAGTAGTACTTCGATTATCTTCCTGTAGTACTTCGATTATCTTCCAGTAGTACTTTGATTGTCTTCCAGTAGTACTTCCATTATCTTCCAGAAGTACAACGATTATTATCCAGTAGTACTTCGATTATCTTTCAGTAGTACTTCGATTATTTTCCAGTAGTACTTCGATTATCTTCTAGTAGTACTTCGATTATTTTCCAGTAGTACTTCAATTATCTTCCATGTAGTACTTCAATTATCTTCCAGTAGTACTTCGATTATCTTGCGGTAGTACTTCGATTATCTTCCGGTAGTACTTCGATTATCTTCCAGTAGTACTTTGATTATCTTCAGTAGTACTTCGATTATCTTCCAATAGTAATTCGATTATCTTCCAGTAGTACTTCGATAATCTTCCAGTAGTACTTCAATTATCTTCCAGTAGTACTTCGATTATCTTCCAGTAGTACTTCGATTATCTTCCAGTAGTACTTCGATAATCTTCCAGTAGTACTTCGGTTATCTTCCGGTAGTACTTCGATTATCTTCTGGTAGTACTTCGATTATCTTCCAGTAGTACTTTGATTATCTTCCAGTAGTACTTCGATTATCTTCCGGTAGTACTTCGATTATCTTCCGGTAGTACTTCGATTATCTTCTGGTAGTACTTCAATTATCTTCCAGTAGTACTTCGATTATCTTCCAGTAGTACTTCGATTATCTTCCAATAGTACTTCGATTATCTTCCGGTAGTACTTCGATTATCTTCCAGTAATACTTCGATTATCTTCCAGTAGTACTTCGATTATCTTCCGGTAGCACTTCGATTATCTTCCGGTAGTACTTAGATTATCTTCCGGTAGTAATTCGATTATCTTCCAGTAGTACTTTGATTATCAATTACGGCAGTTGCAGTACTTCGATTATCTTCCAGAAGTACTTCAATTATCTTCAGGTAGTACTTCAATTATATTTTGGTCGAACTTTCGGGAGTACTTGGATTATCTTACGGTAGTACTTCGATTATCTTCCGGTAGGACTGCGATTATCTTCTGGTAGTATTTTGATTATCTTTCGGTAGTACTTTGATTATCTTTTGATAGTACTTTGATTATCTTCAAAGTACTTCGATTATCTTAATTCAAAGTACTTCGAATATCTTCTGGTAAACTGCAGATATTCCACCAATATTATTTCAAAAATACTTCAATTATTCTTTGAAAATGGTTATTTCGCCTTATATTTTCATCAACAAATATTTTAATTATTTAAAAGATCATATATTTATCATTTTTAGGAAGACGCTCTATGTACTGAACGCTGCAAGGTAGTTATAACCACATTTAGAAATAAGCAACCCCTTAATAATAGTTTTTGAAAGGAACTAACGCTTCAATAACTTTTTTTGCGATTGATACACTGATGGAATTAACCCAAATTTGTTCGTTTTATAAAAATTACGTAAAGTTTTCGTAATTTTTAATTATTTAATGTATTTTGATATTTTGCACAAAATATCAGAGATTCTTCTAAGATGGTGAGCTTGAAAAGTTGAAGAAAGAGAATTACTAGAGTATTTGAACACTGGTAAACTATGCCGACACAATGAAGAAGAAATTTTTGACTTTCTTCCTTTCACGTAACCTTTGAGGACTCTGCCTTAAAAGTTTTCACAAGAAAAACTAGTTTATTTAATTTTGTTAATTCTTAATTGAATTGAATTCGAGGAAGCTTAAATCTGTACATTAATCACCATACAGTTAATATTTCATAAATTTTGACCCTTTCTAAAAGTCTAACGGCAAAAATTTTAGCCCCCCCCTGTACTTCCTCCCCCACCTCAAAAGCATAAGGAAAATCTAATTTGTAAAATTTTGTATTGAGATAAAACTCAAAAATAAAAATATGAGTATGACGCCAAACATTCCAAGCCAGTTTGCAATCCCCAAGTGTCCAAATGAATTGCAAAAACGTTGCAATATTTGCTTTTTTTCAACTGCGAATAACACATTTTCTGAATCTAAACTGAATTTTGATAAATTGAAAACTATTTGTAAAATGTGGCAAAACAAGGAAATTCTAAATAAAAACAAATATTGTTGGAACTGCTGTCACATCACAAAACAAATGTTTGTAAAAATCAAATAAATAAATAAACATTTTTCCTTTCAATTTCTGTTCTTTGTCAACTTTCCCCTTCACACTTTTCAATCTTAAGACAAGGAGCAAATTTAAAATTACTAGTTCGACGGTACGACCTCCTTACTCCTTTAATTTTGAAGGCAAGCTCATCAAAATTGTGATTTAATCTGATATTTAATCTGGTATTTAATCTGGTATTTAATCTGGTATTTAACCTGGTATTTAATCTGGTATTTAATCTGGTATTTAATCTGGTATTTAATCTGGTATTTAATCTGGTATTTAATCTGGTATTTAATCTGGGTTTTAATCTGGTATTTAATCTGGTATTTAATCTGGTATTTAATCTAAGTTTTAATCTGGTATTTAATCTGGTATTTAATCTGGTGTTTAATCTGGTATTTAATCTGATATTTAATCTGGTATTTAATCTGATATTTAATCTGGTATTTAATCTGGTGTTTAATCTGGTATTTAATCTGGTATTTAATCTGGTTTTTAATCTGGTATTTTCTCTGGTATTTTCTCTGGAATTTAATCTGGTATCTAACCTGGTATTTTCTCTGGTATTTAATCTGGTATTTAATCTGGTATTTAATCTGGGTTTTAATCTGGTATTTAATCTGGTATTTAATCTGGTGTTTAATCTGGTATTTAATCTGGTGTTTAATCTGGTATTTAATGCTTAAATTTTGCACTTTTCGTTTAAATTTAATTAAAAAGAAAGTTAAAAGGAGTGTGAGCGTAATTTCATGTGACCCTCCATGCAAGAGGACAATTCCAGATTTACAATTCAAGAACAGAGATATGAATGTGTAAACTTATCGAAACCCAGTTGTGTTTAGTTGCAAATTCAGTTGAGCGCTGTGTTGACTGTTGAGTTCACCCCTATGCGTAACTCAACATAGCGCACACTTGAATTTGCAGCTGAAAACAAGTGGGTTTCGATAAGTTTAAACACATATATCTCTTACACCGTTGTAAATCGGGCATTACCTTCTTTGCATAGAGGGTCGCTTAAAAATTAAGCTTAATACTGCAGTCCCTCTACGTAATTTGTTCTTCTATTTAGATGGATTCAGGTTCTGGTATGCAGAAAGTGTTCCGTAGTTCAAGATACAGGCTTCAGACACTCAAAACCAATATTATTGCTCTCTTACAAGTAACTGTTTTCTTCAAAACATTTTCTATTGGATGTCATAAATTATAATTTTTTTCAACTGATTACTCTTATACTCTACAAAAACGAATTTCTGCAAAAGAGAAAATAGAAGGAAATTTCAAGAATTTAACACTTTTCTAGATAGATAAACGACGAGATTCTATCCTCTAATTGTTAAGATGAATTGGTTCAAAGGGTACCGTTGTAAATCGAAAATACCATTTTTAAAATGAAAATATAAATGGCGTCTCCAGAATTTCTGAATTACAAAATTGTTGGTCAATATATTGTTAAAATTGTTTTTTTTCTTATCGTTTCTTGCAAGCAAAATTTTTGACGCAAAAGGTTTATTATTTTTATCCTAATATATGCAGTAAAAAATATATTTTCTTAAGATACTTTGAAAATTCTTAGAAAATGTCTTAAATTGTGAAAATTAACTTTGTAAAATGATTTATCTGAAATGGGTTTACATAGTTATGAAGTATACTGCATACTACAGCTCCAGTAAAATGTAAAGAATATAAAAAGGACGAACTGAGTTTTTGCCGCAAATCGGATTTTTTAATCCCATATCTTTAAATCGTAAACCCTTGATATTTCAAACTATGACTTCTGTCAGATAAAAGTTTTACTCCTTCAGGTTGCATCGATTTAGGGATTACAAAATTTGAGTTTATCATACATGCAAAAACTCAATTCCTGCGCGTTATTTCAACTTTTAAAGGGACTGTTAAAATATTTTTGAATTGAGGGAACTGATGATTTTTTTTTAGCAATTTTGAAATATTTTAAGCGTTCTGCTGTGTTTTGGTATACAAGTATTTGTATCTGTTAGATAATTGTGATCTCCTAAATTATTTCAATATTCTTGAACAATCCCTTTATCTAGATCTGTGTCCCAGATGTAAGTATGTGGAATCTATTTGGTTGGAAGGATTGCAATGCTGGACAAATTCTTCAAATCTGCGCAGAAAATGGGTTAAACAAAACCTGGAAAATATCACAGGAACAAGCACACTGATTCAATGGTTTTCTGCTGTTTTAATTGAAAATTGCATAAATTCTATAAAGTGAATATAACACAATAAAGAAAATATCGATTTCATTATAATATTGACCTTCTACAGAAATTTGCAACGGTGAATGTTAATATCGGAAAATCAAGAATTTTTCCATGTTCGTTATCTATTAATTTTCCAAAATTTAACAGTTTCTCAATTAGAAAAAGTCAATAACTTTCCATTAATGCATATAAATCCCTTTAAGTCAAAGTGAAATGTTTTGTTAAGTATTTTTGTCAGTTTAATCACTTCAATTCAATATAAATAAACAAACATACAAATGGTTTAGATTATTGTACTAAAAGAGACTGTAAGATTAATTTCAAGTGACCTTCCATTTAAAGAGGGGTATCTTTAACTGATCAAGGATTCAGAACGGTTCCCTTTAAACCTTTAACTGGTCAAGATTCAGAACTGTTCCCTTTAAACCTCTGACTGGTCAAGATTCAGAACTGTTCCCTTTAAACCTTTGACTGATCAAGGATTCAGAACGGTTCCCTTTAAACCTTTGACTGATCAAGGATTCAGAACTGTTCCCTTTAAACCTTTGACTGATCAAGGATTCAGAACGGTTCCAGTTAAACCTTTAACTGGTCAAGATTCAGAACTGTTCCCTTTAAACCTCTGACTGGTCAAGATTCAGAACTGTTCCCTTTAAACCTTTGACTGATCAAGGATTCAGAACGGTTCCCTTTAAACCTTTGACTGATCAAGGATTCAGAACTGTTCCCTTTAAACCTTTGACTGATCAAGGATTCAGAACTGTTCCCTTTAAACCTTTGACTGATCAAGGATTCAGAACGGTTCTCTTTAAACCTTTGACTGATCAAGGATATTGAACAATTCCTAATCTACTGAAACGGTTTTAATTGTTAAACACTTTGTTTGTAGCTTTTTTGTTTTTAAGAAATATCTATAGATACTTTCCATGATTCGGCAGAAAATAAAAATTTACTTTCGACTGTTTGAAAATTAAAAAAACGATATTTCAACATCGTATATTTTCAAAATTACAACGGATTTAGGATGGTCTAGATATATAAATAGATTCTAACTACCACGCGCCCAATTATTTGTTTGTTCTCAAATTCTTGTATAAAATACCCATTTTAAACGTTTCACTGAAATGGCCAGTTTTCTGCAGAATTTTGGAATTTCAACTCAACATTATTATAATAAACATAGAAACTTCTCTCAAAAAAATGGCTTAAGCGACCGAGCCTTATTTAACTTAAATAAAAGATTTATGGTGTAAACTCAATATTGCCCCCCCCCCCATACCCCTTTAATTGATAAACAGTTAAAGGTTTAAAGTGGACCGTTGTAAATTGGGCATTGCCCTCTTTGCATCGACGGTCACTTGAAATTAAGCATACAGTCCCTTTAATCAATAAATCTTTTATATTTTAACTATTGTATTCAATATGTTTTGAAATGAATGGTCGCAAAAATTAAAAGAGATGCATTTTATTACTATGATTTTTATCATTAAAATTTTGGTAGTTTGTTTATAACCTTTAAATTGACCCTCCCTTTACAAACTTGCTCTCATGGCGCCTTCCTGATGTTAATATGTTAATTTCCAATTGTCCACCGGGACATCAAGTTCAACTAATTAAAAGAATTGAGTTCCTTGAGAGAGATAACTTTAGTGGTTAACTTTACAAAGTTTTCTCAACTTTTATCTATATATCTTTCTATCTATCTATCTGCCTAATATATCTTACTATTTCCTTTATTCATTAACAATTTTTCTAGCCACAAACTCTCATATTTTGATTCTTGTATCATTCCAACCCGATGTTGTAGACCTTGAATATTTTAGCATTGAACCGTATTCGACCAATTTGACCAGTTTGACATTTTAAAGGTTTGCTTCATCAGGTTGCAAATATTTAAAGAAACTTTGAGTTTGTGGCATGCACTTAGTTCCCTTTACCTTTAAAGGGTTAACGAAACGAACGTTTTTCATAAAAGTGAAAACGATCCATCCCGGCCCTTGAGACATGCCGCTTTGTAAATTATGTCACTGAGAAAAACGTTGCAGTTGAAGTGATGGGGTTTCGTTACAGGAAGAACAATTTGCTTTTTGATTGTATTTATTAGTCTTGAATAATAAAACATTTTGGAAATTTTGACTAAAATAATGTAAACTTTGCAATTTGAGTCAAACGAAAATGAACTATAATGTTTTCGAACAAATTTGGCATATTCATTGTTAAATTACTCTTTTCATTACCATCCAATGCAAAATAATTCATCAGTATTTAATTAGGGTTTATCACTCATTAATTAGAGTTTATCACTCTTTACTTAGAGTTCATCACTCATTAATAAGGTTATATTACTCATTAATTATGATTCATCACTCATTAATAACGGGGTCATAACTCATTAATTAATGTTCATTACTCATTGAGTAGGACTCATCATTCATTAATTAGGTTAGTTACTCATTAATTAGGTTAGTTACTTATTAAATGAGATTATTCACTCATTTAGGGATTAGGATTCATCACTTATTATTTAGGGTTAATTACTCATTAAATAAGCTTTATCCCTCATTATTCAGGTTAAATTAGTTTGGTTGGACTGGGTAGATTAGTTTGGTTGGACTGTATATAGATTAGTTTGGTTGGACTGTATATAGATTAGTTTGGTTGGACTGTATATAGAGTAGTTTGGTTGGACTGTACAGATTAGTTTGGTTGGATTGGGTAGAATAGTTTGTTTGATCATATGATTATAGTTTGGTTGGACTGGGTAGATTAGTTTGGTTGGACTGTATATGATTATAGTTTGGTTGTACTGAGTAGATTAGTTTGGTTAAATTGTATATAGATTAGTTTGGTTGGACTGGGTAGATTAGTTTGGTTGGACTGGGTAGATTAGAATTTGGTTGGACCGGGTAGATTAGTTTGGTTGGACTGTATATAGAATAGTTTGGTTGGATTGGGTAGAATAGTGTGGTTGGACTGGGTAGATTAGTTTGGTTGGACTGAGTAGATTAGTTTGGTTGGACTTTATATAGATTAGTTTGGTTGGATTGGGTATTGATTATATTTGGTTTGGATAATTTGGCGGGTTAGGTGTGTATTGATGATTTGGCAAGCCAATCAAGGTTCCGTTTTTACACCAACAAAGAGAAGAACTAATTAATGTAAAAAGACGGAAAATCTAGAAACCTTAAATATCAAGAATTATAAAGTTCTAGGTTTTCATAACCTTTCATCATTTTTAGGTATAAACTGTTCTGCAATTCGCCATTTTTAATCGTTCAAATGTTCGCAGACTTCTCTGCCCAGTCTAACACAGACTGCGCATATGCTCTACCTGGATTGGCTAAGCGGGCCTATAGTGTCCCGGCACGCCATATGCTACAGTTCCATGAAAGGTTTTTCGACTGCCATCTAACGGCAACTTGTTGTATGTAAAATCCATTCAAGAGTTAAGTTTTACAATTTTTAAAGAAATACTACAAATTTTGACATGAAACATAAAATTTGTGAATTTATTTATTTTTAAAATTTTGTATTTCGTATCCAAAGGATCCTTGAATATCCCTGAATTTGCTGATTAGTCGTGAACAGCATTTGACCACAATAGAACCTGCTGTGGAAAATATCGAAGTTTCATTTGATTTCTGTTACTCTCAGTCTCTTATCTCTGTTTCTTAGTATAAATAACGCGTTTTCAAAAATACTAAATGCCAATATTTTTTTCCGGACAACTTTTTGTTTATTTTTCATAAACCTTTTCTTGGGCCATGTGAGTTGCCACCAAAAATTTGGACCTGATCGTTTGACGTTTATTGGATACAAACCCAGACATGGATAGACAATTACCAAATATACAGATAAATATTATTTACAGAAACTATTGTAATTCTTTATCTTTGAATGCAAGCTGCAATATTTTACAATTTTGTTAAATATACTCTGGGAGTATCAGAACATAAACATTTTCAAATAATTATTTTTAAACCAAATAAACATAAAATATTCGAAAAATTAGGAATTCTTGTTCGAGAAATATGTGACGTAATTTGCTAAATTATCGACACAAAATTTTATAGAAAAAAATGTTTACGTTGTCGTCAAAAAGATTTGATGAGTACCGTTGTGTATCCGACATGCTACCCTAAATTACATGAAATTAAGTCTACCACCATAGTTTCAGTAGAAGTAAATATTTCCATTTACTGATAGCGCCGATTGAAGGATTCATAACTCTGATTGGATAATAAGATAGATAGAAAGATAGATGTTACCGCCAAACTAATTCTATTGGCTTAGAATTATAGACATCAAACACATGACTGAACCCTGATTGGATCAGGCGCTAATGGACTCGGCATACAAGAGTGCTACATCTCTACATATAGTTCCTTTAAACAGGAATCATTATAATTTATTTTAATGGTTCATTTTTAGACAGTAAACAATAAAGTTTTTTTTGGCCGGAATGTAAACAATTATTAGGTATTCAAAATGTGAAAAATTTATATAGACTAAATAGGTCTGTGTGTGAAGATTTACTGAATTCTAATTGACAATAAATCACGCAACCTCTCTAGAGGGACATTTCCATTGGTTAATTTAGAACAGCAGACGAACTATTTTAGATTTTAGATTTTTTCAAGAATAAATTGTTTGATTTTCAACTGTTTTGCCACTGTTTGCCATTTTAGATTGTTATATTTTCTTCCTTGAAATAGAACTCTATTTTTTCTCGTATTTGCGGGAGACATTTTATCCTAGAAAAGTTTGCTACGCACGTACACGACAACAATTGTAATCTCCACAATTATTTTTCAGGTACAATAAAATAAGCGTACATTGGTTGGGACATATAACACTATGGAATAAGAATACAGCTATACAATAAACTATATAGAACTTTAGATAGTCAAATCATTTAATCAGTTAAACTGCAGTAACAAGCCATACAATTTTTATGTATATTTTTATTCATTAACTAATACTTATAATTTTAACTTGTATCCAGCTGTTTTACCTTCCTGTGCCAAATAAACTTTAATAAT